CATTGAAATTCAATACCCCTCAGATACTCTGAAATGAACCCTCATCATCAAGGCGGAAACCCCATTAAATATTTATGTATGTATACTACTCTACTTGTGGCGTACAAAACCCAATGCTATCTACATGAGAATTTGTTTGTGATGAGGCGAGGCGTTCGACCGTTCGTCAGTGGTGTTGTTGAACCTCGACTCTCAAAACTGAACACCATAGCACAAAAACTGTTATACACATAAAATATTTATGAAGAGATATGGAACAGCAGCAGCAGGAGGAGGAGGAGGGTTGAAATACTTTTTTATATTTTTCTGGCAATTTGTCACATCTAAAAACTTTTCGAAATAGGGGATCGGCGAGAGTACAAAATCCACAACTTAATAATAATGGCGAAGAACGAACTTTGAAAATGCCATGGGGGAAATATTTCATAAATCAATGGCTTTCGTGGGGCCATATGATGTTTAAATTTCGCTTATATGGTAATGCCCATAATAAATGTTTTAGCCACCAAATACCTACCGATAATTAAACATTTTCCAAAAAATAATAACATTTTTCTGTATACCAACATTACGGGTAAACTTGAACGGAAACCAGACATTTAAGTCATGGATTTAAAATCGATAAGCGGATGAGTACAAAAGTTGGCATTTATATACACAATACCTTAGCTGGCTGGCTGCCTGCCTGTCAGACTACCTGAGAAACAACCATGCAGGGGAAATATGGCAATGGTAAAGCATGACCGTAACAAATCTCATATCCAACATTTAGCTCACGACCAAGCCGAATGTACGTACTACCAGCTAGCTCTTCAACGGGGTTAATAATACCAATGGTATCACCACCACCACTACTACTACCATAACTTCTCAGTACCAACAACACAAGAAGTACACGCAACACAGAACGGGGTTTCTGTTTTTTTAAGACGCTTATATGGAATTTCTTGAAGTATCTTGAAGAAATAACGAAAACCAAAACCAGTTTTTAGATTGGTTTTATTGTGCATTCGTCGGCCCACTTCATTATTATTTGAAATATAATCATTTTTCGTACGAAAACGTGTGGTCGTCGGTGCGGTAGGTATATATAGCAGAAAAAGAAAACGATTTTTAATATACAAAGTGAAGAGTCTACCCCCCTAGGTTTTTAGTTTAGGAAATGCTAACATTTGTGTGCGTGTGTATTTTTTTGTATAGAAAGAATCACGTACCTCTATAGATAACCACATAGCTCTAGATTTTTCCATAAGATACCCGTCGAACGTCGCACATATCTGAGAAACCAAAAATTATGCCAATCAATTAATATGCTGGTGATACAATTCGCTTCGTTTGCTTCGATGAACGGCGGATGCATGGATAGATACTTGAAGCTATTATCAGATGAGCTAATGGCATTGAGGTTACACAGTGGAACCAAAAAAACAAAAAAATATTTGAAGGAAGTTTCTAAATTTAAATATGCATACAAATCATATTTTGTTGATGGAATTTATTCCAGAACGGAGTCGGTCTTGTGCGCATATCATCGAGATGTTTTCTTCTATTTGATTTTTTCATCGAATTCGTGGCCTTACCATTTTGCGTGAACCATCACTTGGCTCGCTTTTATAAGCCTTTTGAGTGGGGGAATCCTCATCCATTCCCACAACAAGATCTAGCCAACGTAGACGCTGCAGCTCGATCCGTCTGACTATATTGATGTCTGAGAATATATGGTATAGCTCATGGTTCATTCGTCGACGCAGATCGGTCCATAGATCTTTCGGAGAATTTTTTCTATCAAACACATCAAGAGCTGCCACATCTGCTTGCGCCTGATCCATACACCAGCCAGTACGGTAGTATCAGCGTCTGAATTTGGTCTAGCGAGAGTTGGCCCTGTTTCTAAACTGCTTACTTAGACCTCCGATTTTCAAAAAAGATGTCATTAGTTTTATTTATGGCGGTACCGAGGTATATAAATTTTTGACTACATCGAAGGTTTAGTTTTCATGTTCCGCAGCTGGTCTGAGTCTACTGGTCTTCTCTTCTTGTTTGGTCTTCTCGCCACTTACTGCCAGATGCACTTTGACAGACTTCTTCTCAATTCGTTCAAAGGTGGCTGTTACCCCTCGCAATATTCAACGTCGTCGACATAGGCGAGTAACATATCCTTTGGTATAGCCTCCATATATAGTACTCGCCCCATTTCCCAATCTAAAAAATTTTAATTTGGTAATTTTTTCAGTACAGTTCTATGTCCTGATTTATATTAGGCGAGTTTACTTGCGGCAATTTTTATCGTTCTCTTTTGAACTTGTTCCATGCGTCTATACAAGGCAATCCGGTTTCCAAAAAATTGTTTTCTTTGTTGTTTTTTCACATTTAAATATATATAAAATGTCAACAAATACGAAATACACAAAACGAATTGCCAGAAAATTGTCGGTACGAGTTTCATTTCTATACCCCTTGCCCCTCTCTCCTACAAACAAAGACTTGCCGCAAGTAAACTCGCTTAATCTAAATTGGGACTATGTTTTGACATAGACTTCACATAAAGGTCCTGCTCCACTTTAGGTATTTAAATGATCCTAAGCGCATTTTCCAAACCAAGTAACTATAATTCAACATTACGGGTATAGGGAATTCGAAATATCCTAGAACTTTGCCTATAATCTTATTACATTTAAAAATTGTATATGTCTCAAATTTTCTGCTAATGTTCCACTGTGCTAAACCGTATTTCAGAGACCGCCTAATTGGCATTGACTCGAATATATAAAGCAGGAAAAAAAACTCATGACATTGCATGACTCAGAGTTCTTCTCAAAAATTACAAAAACAAAAAACCAAATGATTACGAATATACGAAATGTGGGGGGATTGTCAAGGAAATATACACACCATCTGACATCAGACCCAATGGAATTTTTATTTTCTTTCCTTAAAAGAACGTTTGTATAAATATATACATTATTATTAATTACAGAATTATCTCTCTATTTTAGAAACCGCATTTTATTTTGGGGATAAAATACCCATTAATCTTGTAATTTATTCTACTCCCTATTGTATAACTAAAAATCTGCAAATACAAGTCACCCTCAACGTCTGCTGGTCTCTGTCTCTCCCTCAAAATCTAACATCTATGTATAAATGAAGAAATAGGTTCTTACAATTTTTCCATTATTTATCCCATGTTGATATTGTGTACTCCCGCTCTAAGGTATCTGCCAAAAAGGGAAGGATGGATTCTGACAAACAGAATATATTAGAACCACAAACATACACACGCACACACACACACATAATATACAATATTGAATACCCCGGCCTGAAAACCTGATATACCTAAGCAGCACATTTTTCTTTCGTATATCTAAAAACTCTATAACAGTCTTTATGGTTCATCATCGTCTTACAATGTCGGATTCTCATAGTTTGCGTGTTCTGGAAACGAACAAAAGCAACAACAACAACAAAATAAATCCCTCGCCCATCATCATTTTATGCTCAAGGGAATTGAGAAATATATAAAGCTGTTGGTTGGTGTATATATGGGTACTGTGTGAGCGGAAGACAGCAAATGTGAGCAACCATCACCGGATAGCCGGTGCTTAGCTGGCCTGTTTTGTATGGTTTGTTAGTTAGTTGGTCGGACTGGTTGACTGACTGTCGGTTGCCTTTCTGCTACTACTACCTACATATCTTGCGTTATACAACTTCAAGGTTTTACAGTCGTTTGATGTTGGTGGTATTGTTGTCATTTTTTGAGACCATATTCCTCTCCACATTTCCTTTCTCGAAAAAGTCGTTGTTGGACGTAAATTATTGTGATTCAGGGTATGATTATAACAAGCCTACAATTTGCTCAAGTATAAACATGTTCGTTTTACCCAGCTAAGCAATTTTTAGGGAAACTTATTTTATAGTCTAATTGCTATATGTTTCAGATTATAATATTTTTGTAGAACATTTTGACATTTTTTAGAACATTTTTTATATCAATTTTTGAGAATGTTCCGGTTAAAAATGAACATCGAACATTTGTATTCTTATATCATGGTTTGTTAGAAGCCAACTTAGCAGGTTCCGTGAGAATACTTTATCAGCAATATCTTCGAGTCATCACGGCTCGATTGTAACAGTCTTTAACTTATTAACCTATTCCAATAACTTCAAATAGCAAAAATGTCAAGGTAGCATGATGTCAATGGATAAAATATAAAATTACTAAATTTGATTACCTCATTATAGCGCCTCTCATAACCACGAGAAGTTTCAAGCAACTGGAAATAAGACAAATATACATAAATAATTTAATAACAAAATATGTATTAATTTAATATAAATTGAAATTTCTTTTGCAATATATATTATAAAGTACATATTAATTATATTTCCCGCGTAAATAAAAATTACATTTTAAAGAGCCAGAAGACGTCGCTAGAGAATCCATTAGAAATGCGTAACAGGGTTGAAATACACCTTTTATTTTTTACTGCAATTTGGCAACTCTCGTTGTGTAAACAATTTTTTTCACATTTAATTAAAAAACGAACGGTAACAAGTGAGAGTTTTGCCATAACAAAATAAAAACAATAAAAAATTTATATCAAATCAAATCATTTTTTTTTGTTTTTCTAATTTAATTTTAACGCTTTTTGTTCTGACAAGAACAGGAGAACGTAATCAAGCTTTTCTTACACTTCTGTTTTGGTTTTTTCTTTTAATCACAATGTTGCCACATTGTTTTTTTATACAATCAAATACCGTTATCCGTATTGTTTTAACGAGTAACCAAATAATGACAACAACCCTGCTGAGTATTCCGTAATGTAATTCTCTTTCCTTTTGCTTCTGTCTCTTTACAGTGGTTCTCGTTCTCTTAACAATGAACAACGTGTGAGAGTGCAACAACAATAAAAACAAACAAACAAAAAACGTAAACAGAATACCAAGAATCAAAACAAAAGAAAGAAAGAAACAAGTGTTAATAAAACTCGAAACGGTCAGAGAATGCCAACCATACGACGTTGTTGCATTGTGGGCTGTAACTCAAATTCCCGCCTAAATCCAAATTTACAATTTTTCCAATTCCCTCGACCGGAAAATCCTTTCTATAAATTGTGGACCCAGGCTTGTCATGCCTCGCTGAGCCGTATTCTCCCGTTTAAGAAACCGGTCCTCTGTGCCGAACACTTTGCTCCACATTGCATTGGTGGCCGCCGGCTGACAAGCAGTGCAGTGCCCAGTCTGAAACTGGATGTTTCGTCCGATATGAAGCATGTGGAGCAGCAATCGATGGTGGAAGAAATCGAGCGCAGTCGCAAATGCGCCTACATCAATGCCGTTGTCTATGAATGGCTGGTCAGGGCAAATTTAAATCCCCAGCTACGGGGGTCCATTACGCACGGCATGATTAAGGAGAAGGCGGACACTGCAAGACGAATAATTGGCTGTGACTCATTTACGGCCGACAATCGTTGGTTGAATCGTTTCCGCGAAAGCCATTTGGCGGGATTCGCACAGAAATTGGCGTCCAATCAGTTGAAACCCATGGGGCCATCACTGTGGATACCGGATATTGTACAGGAACTGCAACACATGTTCCCGCCAACCAACGCCGAACGAATGGACAGTTTTGAAAATGTACCGGAACAATATGTCAACTATATGAAACAATATGGCGAATATGAGGAAGATGATGAGGGAGGCGAACAAGAACAACAACCACCTAATGGCTATGGCAATGAGCATAACAATGGTGGGGTTGGAGGTGGTTATGGGGAACAAAAAATGCCTCCCAGCCATAATTATTACCAACAACAACAGCAGCAGCACCCACATCCACATTCATATGAAGCCCCACAGGGTTATTATCAACAACATGCACAGCATCCGCCCCAGCATCATCAACAGGTGCCGCCACCACCTTCACATGCAAATGCCTATAATCCTTATGGACATCAGGCGGGAGTTGGTTTGCACCATCCGGCCTCTAGCTATAATGCTTATCATGATTATTATGCCAACGAAAGGCACCAGCAAGCGCCATATCAACCACATATGCCACCACACCATAACTACAATGGAGGATATCATCATCCGGGGCAGCAAACAATGCCACCGCATCAACCGCCACCACAAAGGCCGTTGTCGCATTCCCCGGTACAGCAACGCCCCACACCACCACCGCCGCCGCCAGTACCACAGCAGTATCCACCTCAACCGCTAAGGCCGTCCTCACATTCTCCAGCTCAGGTTAGATCATCGCCGCTCGATCCTTTGCAATTTGGTAGAACATCGCCAGCAGTTAAAAGACCCTACCCCACCGAGGAGCATAGCAATAGTTTGCCATCTAGTAAACGTGCCTCGCCGGCCATAAATGACAGCAATGCCATATCACGTTCTCCACCAACAACACCCACGGCCACCAAAACTCCGCCACCACAGCCACAAAACGAAGCTTCTGAATCGAATAGTAATGATAATTTTAAAATTAAGTTACCTTCCATTACATCGAATAGATCAAATAATGCGACGCCAATTCCCCAGGCTTCCTCAACACCATCCAATGCAAACCATACGACGAATACAACCAACAGTTCTTCTTCTCGTTCATCATCGCCAAAATCTCAAACCGACAAAAATAGTGGCGCCATAGCAAATGGTCATGCGAGCAATGGTTCCCCCACACCCATCAGTATGGGTGGTGGTGGCGATACACCAAAGGAATTGGAAACATATGCGCAGGCATTGGAATATCTTAAGCCACTCGAAGATTTTGCTCTCTTCAAAGAGAATTTCCGGGCCATTGGTCTAATATCACAATTAGAAACAATATTGAAAAAATACAATCGTCCTCCAGTAACCAACAAAAGCAACAACAATAATAAGGCTATAGCCGCCAATGGCTGTAATTAAAACCGCAAATCGAATTCGAATTTCTTGAATAAGTTTTGTTTGTAAATAGTATTTTAGTTTATAATTAAAACAAAACAGCAACAGTTCAAATTTGGGGGATACTTAAAGTTCAACTCCAAAACAAACTTAAAATTTGTATTATTTGTTTTTCTCTTTGTAACTATGACTGATTATATTTGTATGAAAATTAGTTTTATGAAATTTTGCAAAAACGAACAAAAATCTCATTTTATATATTTAAAAGTATTTTAATTGTATTGTTTAGTTGAAATTTTTTGTTGTAAATGCCGAGTATACTCATAAAATTTAATTATGAAGCCATGAAGGCTTTTATATTTAAACAATAAATAAAAAATATTTATGCATTAGGTAATATAAATTAATATGCGTTTTATTAACACAAAACAATTGATTGTGTAAATGGAATTAAACTATGGATACAGCCACTAAAATAATGAGAAGTTTTTAGCATTGTATTGGTATAGCTCTGAAACATTTTCGTGGCAATGTTGATTGGTTCTTACAAAGAAATTCATTCTAACCATCATATTGTGTACAGAACTTCCTAGATAATAAAAGAGCGTCTGGAACAAAAAATGCATTATCTCGATTTAATTGATAACCGAGTTGAATTTACCTCGATTTACCATACAAAATTTAATCTACTCCATATATCGATTGGTTCAAAATCTTATACTGAGTCCTAAGTACCTACAAAGTAAGTACTTCTCAAACAAATATGCCACAAAATACTTTACAATTCAAAATAGTTGCCTACCAAAATTATGTCAGCTGTAAAAAAATTATCGGGTATACTCTGGAACTCACGGTGTGTTCTTTACACTTCACCTCAAAAGTTACCACTGATTTACTTCCCACGTGAATTGAAATTTTCGAACTGTGACAAAAATAAACGCCGACATGGTACTTTGCAGAAATAGTGTTGCCAAACAATATAAACTGTATACGTTTTTAACCCTTTATGGCCCAATGTTGCCCACAGGCAACAAAATGTTTTAACAACGTTACTTATAATTCGACGGCCGTATAATTGTGTACGGCCGTATTACCCAAATACGTCGAATCCATATCTTCAAGCGAATAATACAAACCGCAAAACAAAGTTGAAAATTTATTAAATTAATCCAAATATTTTATGTTCACATTCGAAATTTCATATTTTCTGAATGTTTTGTTTTTATTTTCAACAAAAGAAAAATACAAAAAATACGTTCTGTCAAAGTTGAAAATTTTCAACTTGAAATTTTGTACGCTCGACGTATTTCGGTAACATTCATATAAATACATGTGTTCTACTTTTGTGGTGAAAAACGTCGAACGAGCTAGTCGAATTTTAGGTAAGGCTGTAAAGCTTATATTTCATATGTAGCACGTAGGTATATATTCATTGGATTTCGTCAAGACCTGATCATGGACAACACATATCAAAAGAAAAATCTAAAAAATTCAAAATTTTGGTTAAGTTATGAGCTTTTCAATATAAAGAAGAGGGCAAAAATGTGTACAATACTAATATATGTATACAGACCTTCATATTCGAATTGTACGAATTCTTGCATCACGACTATTATTGATTCTTGTAATAATAAATAAAAATAATAATTTAAAATGAAATTTCCGTCGATTTTGCATTTGGTTTTCTTGATATTGGACTTTTATTTTTCAGAATTAATGTACTGTATTTCCCGAATGCAAGGATGTAGGGATGTCAAATTTTGTACATATCCTATTTAGGATAGTTGCATTAAATCTCTGGACAGAAAATTGTTCTATGTTTACGGGGAAAAATTCGGGTCACAAAGGGTTAACATTGTCTCTGTAATTTCGTTAATTCTAACAATAATTTTAATATTATATATATTATGAATATTGACACATTGGGCACCACACACTATTTTCGTTTCCAAGATTTGAAATATAGTTTTCATATTTCAACAAATTTATTTTTGAATAGAAAATCCGTTTCGGCATTTTTGTATGGTTTTTTATTGGAATTCAAATCAAAACCACATAGTTTGACAAAATATGTAGATATCAGCTGTTCTTACTGGATGACCTACAGCATAGACCTTGGTACACGTCAACAAATAACAGCTGACAAATCCACTCCATTTCATTTTAATACTAATTTAAACATTTTAATACTAATTTAAACAGCTACAATTTTTTATCTTGATTTGCAAATCGAGTCGATTTTCAAATTGTTATCGTAGTACAAAATTGTACACTCTTGCAGGTTCTTGAAAAGACATAATCCACCGAAAATGTTTAATATAGGTCCAAGCATGGCATAATTATACAAGAAATTGTGGCTTCTTCTGCCAAATATAAAATAAATATACACAACAACGGACGAGTTAAAACATCATTTTCATTTCAATTTATTTTGAATTTATTTGAGATAATATTCAAAACAATACACACACATACACACAATTGAGAAAAATTTTTAGTCTGTTTGTAGCTGAGTCCAAGTATTGTAATAGCCAGTCACAGTTTTCAACCGAATTGATTATTATTATGTTGTCTGTAAGTAATTTCATGTATGTGAGTCTTACGATATTCAAAAAATGGACACATATACTGTCATAAGAATGTAAAAGTTTGACAATTTAAACGAAACCTTTCAATTAAACACCTCTAATGTATACGTGCTTAAATGACATATGTACATCAAACATGTTGTATTTTGGCGCCCTTCCTGATTGACACAATACCTAGGCCTAGGACTATACGGATTGTGAATAACAATACAAGTGTTATTGTGAATTATTTTAAAACATATTTCGTCCTTTCACAAAACCGCCTTACCATATTTTATATTCACACACACTTTTATTGTGAGCCCAATTGCATAATATGGCAACATTATTACAATTTTGACAACAAATCTATTGACATTTGGTTTTTGTTTTGCTTTATTTTCTCTTTTCAGAAGTCCAAAGAGACTTTCTCTCACTACAACTCGTTCTCTCTACAAACAAAATTAACCCGCTAAAAATACAAACAAAACAAAGAACGGAAAGGACGAATTTGCTGAAACAAGAACAGGAAGAGAGTGAAGAAACGCATCCCGCTGCAGTTCTATAAATTTCATTTCAATTAATTTGGCATAAATAAAACCAGCAATAATGCCGGCCATTCGCAAATGCTGTATTGTCGGGTGTATGTCAAATTCCCGAACAAATCCAAATCTGCAATTTTTCCAATTTCCCCGACCGGAAAATCCCTACCACAAAGAATGGAAGGAGGCTTGTCATGCTTCCATGAGCCGTATACTGCCATTTAAGAAGCCAGTTTTATGCGCCGCCCATTTCTTGCCTCAGCACATTGGCGGTCGCCGTTTAACCAGCAATGCCGTACCCACCCTAAATCTAGACGTTCCTGCCAACCTAAAGGATGTGGAAAATCAGGCAATGTTTGTGGAACTCGAAAGAAGCCGCAAGCATGCCTACATTAATGCCGTAGTTTATGAATGGCTGGTGCGGGCCAATTTGAATCCCCAACTGCGTGGCTCCATTACACATGGTATGATCAAGGAAAAGGCCGAAACGGCTAAGAAAATAATTGGATGTGATGGTTTTGTGGCCGATAATCGTTGGCTGAATCGCTTCCGTGAAACACATTTAACAAATTTTGCCAAAAAGCTAGCCTCCAACCAATTAAAGCCCATGGGTCCCTCACTGTGGATACCGGATATTGTACAGGATTTACAGGCTTCCTTTCCGCCAACTAATGCGGAACGTTTTGATAACTTTGAAAATGTGCCCGAGCAATATATTGACTACATGAAACAATATGGAGAGTATGATGAGGACGATGACACCGATCAGGATCAGTCTGTGAGTGGCATTAAAGAGGAAGATGATCAGGATAGTAAAACGAAAGCACAGGCCTACTATCAGAATTTCCAGGCTGGACAAAACTATTACAACAGTGGTCAGCAACAGTATAACAATTCGTTTGGTTCAGAAGGCGGCGCCTATGAGGATTACTACAATGACAGGCAGCGTAATGGTCGACCATCCGCCCTCAATGAACATCATCACATGAAGAATAGATACAGCTTACCGAATCCCACAAACGGGCATGCAAACAAACGACGTCTATCGGGTACAGATACCGATAGGAATGGACCGTTAAATAAACGTGTCACACCCAATTTCGGTTCCCGTTCCCAGTCACCTGCCATCGTCGATAGCAATGAACGAAACGCTGAAAGCAACAACGAGAAAAGTTTTAAAATTAAATTGCCACTGGCCAATGGCAATAGTCGTTCAACATCCTCACCCACAAATTCCCAGCCATCGACTAACAATAACAACAATTCGCGCTCGAACTCTCCCAAATCACAAAATGGTGAAATAACCACAAACGGCCATAGCTCACCGTCGCCGAGCATAGGCACAACCGTTAAAGACTTGGAAACCTATGAACAGGCATTGGAATATCTAAAGCCATTGGAAGATTTTGCCTTGTTCAAAGAGAATTTCCGAGCTATTGGTTTATTGTCGCAATTGGAGGCGGTGTTGCGAAAGGGAAAACTATCAACAACAGAAGAGACTGAACAAATTGGCGAATAAAGCAACAAACTCTAGTAGTTTTTTAGTTATATTTAAAAAAATCACTTAAAAGAATAAAGTATTGTAATATGTATTTATTGTTAATTGTTTAAGAGAAACGAAAAGAGTTTACGGAAAAACAAAACAAGTATTTTTACTATTTATATATAGAACCACATACATTTCACAAAAATATAGAACAAATAATTTAGAAAAACATAATTATCGTATAATATATTAATTTATTAATAAATGCTCTCCCACTACTATTTGAGTTATCTATATACTTGAATTAATACCAATTAAATAAAAATTTTCGTTTTCAAAAAAAAAAAAAAAAATAGCTATGGTACGAATTAATACGTAAACAATGCTGTGAGTTTGGAAATCTATTATCGCATATTTTCTTGAGTCTTAAAAAAGTTAGACTAACTAATAAATAGATAAAATATCTCAATATTCAAAATATGTAATATATGTTTTTATGAATTTTAAATATGGCAGCCACAATTCTCCCTTTTGTTCATTGTTTAATATTTTACGATAACTAATCTACAGCATCGTTATGAAATTGCAGTACTAAACACACATTATGTCTGTTTTAGAACCTGCGAGAATGTACAAATGCTTACTACAATAACAATTTTCCTTTTATGAAATCCAAAAACAAAAAGTACAAATTGGTAAATTCTTGCAGTTCTAAAGCAGAACAATTATAGATTAAAATGGATTTTTTATTTTTTTTATATAAACATTTCATCCTCTCTTTCTTTGCCTTCCTCTGTTCATTTCGAATAGTGCGATTTACTGAAGTTGCTAAAATCGCTGGTGTTACTGCATTCAAATTCAGACACAATTATATTTAAATACTTTTGATAAATCAATATTTCTCCCTGCTCGCAATTTATTTACTATGAACCATGACTAAAAATTTAAGCTGTTTTATGCCAAATAAAGAGGGTATTGTAAATATTAGCCCAATTAAATCAATATTTATTTATAGTTTATTTTATTTACATTCCTTCATATTTTTTATTTTGGTAATTGTTGTTAAGATCGATGGTCTTAACGGAACCAAAGATATTCAAGCATCCTCAGATTACTAATAAACTTAACTCTTACATAGGCATAAGTGCATAATGATTATATTTTTAGTTCATTTCGATTTTATGTATTCTGAAAACAAACCCCCTAAATAAAAAATACTGTAATATTTTTAATTTAGATTTTTTCATTATATTGAATAAGAAATAATTTCAATAAAACCATATAACTGCAAGATTTATCCGCTATGTGTATATAGTTTCTCCAAATAGGCTTAAAGTCATAAAAATTCAAATAAAAAAAAATTATGTACATAAAAAAACGAAAATTGTGTATTTATTTAAATTCTCAATCAAAAATATGTATATCATCCTTATTCTGGACATCAATTCACCGTGAATTTGTTCGCTCTTCCCTTTAAAGTTATTCTGAACTAGTTTTCGCATTTTCACTTTCTCCTTATATTGAATCAAGTTCGAAAGCGAAAAAATCTGCTTTGTGGAAAAATTTGATATTCCGAATCACAGGAAGTGGGAGAATGTGATGACATTTTGTAAGAATTTGTTCGCTAATAAATTTAAAGAGAGCTGACTACAAAAATATAACTATTAAATATTAATACAATATAAGTATTAAATATTGGGTGCCAAAATGTGTACTGTGCCGTTTTGTCCAAATTTAAATTGTTTCGTATTCGAAATGTACGAATTGTACCCCCAACTTATTTTTGATTCTTGTATAAATGAACATAAATTATAACTAGAAGTGATTTTATCGACGATATTGTATTTGATTTTTTTGATATTACTCTATTATTTTTCAGAAAGAAGGTACGATATATCCCGAATGCAAGGCTGTAGCGATGTCAAATTTTATTCATATCATATTTAGGATAGTTGCTTTACATCTGTATACAAAAAACAGTTCTATAGTCACGGAAAAAATCAGTGCTCAAAGGGAAAATCTTCTAAATTCCATTCCCTTAGAATTTTTAATTAACAAATGTTTAAAATTCGGTTGTGCAATATTTATTGGGGAAGGCACCAGAAAGAGAATGAAGGGTTATAATTTTTTACTCCAGTAGGTAATACCATGAAATGTTTGTTTCATCCATAAAAAAGTAATTACACAAACATCATTTTCATTTTAATTGAATTTAAATATATTTCAATTTATATTGCGTTTATATTAGAACTTTTTATTCAATGGAATTGGCATTTGAGACCGACTGGGTTAACGTCATCCGGTATAATGTAAACGTAATATTATTTTGATTTTTTTTTTTGACATAGTATTATGTATTTTGATAGTAGAACATGCCACCTTATAATAATCGTACCATGGTATTTCGTACACCAAATTTAGAAATAAAGCCGCTTTAGAAGAAATCGTCTAAACGCGCCTTAGAGTCTAAACGCAACCAGAGAGTCACGAGTCAGCGTCATACTTTTTCGCCGGCGTGAAAACCAAACGAAATAGTTAGCGTTAGCGGCACAAAATGTCAATTATTTGTTTTCATTTTCTGACAGAAAATTTTACGTTGTGCAAATCAATGCAAATCAAAATCAATTTATTATTTAATAAACAATAATGTCAAGGAATTTGGATAAAATTATTGAAAAAAATATTTTTCTTCCATTTTATTAATAATTCATTAAAAAACATCCACAATCTTTGAAAATATTTGTTTTTTTTAACAGTACTGCCATATGTTTTGATATAAATTCTCATTGAAATTTGGTAGCACTGGTGATTTTTACCTAAAATATGGCAACTCAATTGAGAGCAAGTGAGAAATTTTGAGTATGACGCTGAGCAAAAATGAATAAAATCTATTCTAGCGTCATGCCGCTAGGCGCGAACGTCAGCCGTCGCGATTTCCCGTTGCCTATAAGAAACACACGGCAAACGACTGTCGCTGATTCTAGACTCTATGGTTGCGTTTAGACTCTTAAGAGCTTGATAATGGCGCCGCCGTTAATAATTACATATTACGCTTTTAAATGTAACGCCGTTGAAAACAAAAACACATCATCTGACTTCGTATTGTATGTTAGGGATACATAGCCGAGAGTAAAAGTCGACTTTCAGATTCTTCGATTTTTGCCTCTGAACAAAAAGTCGACATTTCGGTTTTTAAATCCGATTAAAAAATTGGCTTTTCGATCTTTCGATTTTATCAAACCTGCTCAAAATCGATTTTCGACTTTTACCTACTAATGTAATTACATTCCAAAATCACATTTACATGCAATAGAAAATTCAAGATTTAGGCTGTTGCACCTCTACAAATACATTAAAAATTTTATTAAAATTCCCCCTTCCGAGCCCATTTTGTATTTTTGGTCAAACAAAACCTCTTACAGTTGGTTTCGACCCCGAAATGCTTGCAACTTTGCGCACCATTTTCGAAAGAATTACAGGGACGGAACGTCAGTGCGCTTTGCAGTTTGACCAACTGAAAGTAACAGACACTGAAGATAATAATGATAATGGGACTTTAGTTAATTGGCTTATTTAGTGATTGGAGTTTACTCGTAGGTTTTATACTTACAAAGGAATTTAACATCGTCCAACTGGAATCAATTGTAGATTGCGCTTTCATAATTCTTTGCATTTGTGACCGACATCCGGTACACTGTGTGTTTGTCCGTAAATATACCACGTCCAATATATGTCATATTCCCTTTCCTCCAAATGCTGAAGGCGGTACACGTTGTATATACATTCCCCACAGGCTTACCACATTAACGAATAACTTTATCGAAAATAAATTGTACATTAATGGCATGGTGGAAGACATGCGCGAACTAACATCCCTTGCTTTTATATCAAAACTTTTTGAATTAGATTCCGAAGTAGATGATGACGAACTTAAATTCAGTCCACAATTGCGGAAAACCCTATGTTACTATAAGGGATATAAATTCGAAAATGGAACTATGGACAGAGTGGCAGCACTTTTTAACCAAAATGTACTGGCCGCTCTGAATGTGGTACAATTTCCCGAAGAAGTCCAGTCCAGCTTACAGGAGACGGTTAAATTCATTGCTGAGATGATTCAAATTGTGCGACTTTGCTCGGAGAATATTGAACGCTCCGAAATAATAAATATAATACACGATTCTTATAATTTTTTGAATCAAGTTGAATGCGGTAGTGTAAGTGAGAAGCTGCAAATAGCATAGGCAACATTGCCGTCTCTGTTGTCAGAGTATACAGATGTCTTAGTAATAAAATGTGTAAATGATGCCCTTGAGGGTGATTTTCTAGATATTAGAAAATGTTGCGGTAGAAGACCTTCTTTTCACGAACTACGGGAAGTCAAGGCAAGATCCGATTATGTTATTAAGCTAAGGGAAGTCAAGGCAAGATCCGATTATGTTATTAAGCTAACCGGATCCTTTGATCGAACATTATTTTGGGCGGAACATTGTTTTCAAGCGTAATTTTCTAATTGATAACAAGTTATCTAGAGATGAATCAATTAATTTATATTTTTTCCTGTTTTACATACGCAATTCAAGTTTTTTTCCATTTAATTGAATGTCTAAAATACTACACTGCCTTCCCTGCAGTTTATTCGTCTGTTTGTTGTGTTATGTATTTTATTTGTTACTGATTGTTATGTTGTCATAAAAAATTACTAGTTTATTTCGTAGAAAATCTGAATTTAATGTTAGGTTTCGTGTCATTTTTAATATTTTTCTTTAGTTCTAGATGGGGGGTTATATGGGAAAGTGATGCGATTACATAGCCTCTCCTTTCCAAATGCCAACATCGCCCACCCACTGTCGCCCCTGTTTTCGCAAAAGAGGCTCTGACGATTTTAACTTATTCTTTTTTATGTATTTAATAGTGCAGTAAAGCAAGATATGAAGAAGACAACGCTGCGGAACACAGCTATAGTGAAATAGTGAAGAGGAACAACACAAGGAATATCCAATATCATGATGCAATAATAAGGTGATGTATCAAAACAAAAACCTTTGTTGTTGTCTCGATTATCTGTCAAATTTTTCCATATAATATTAATATTTCAAATGGTTGGCAACACTGCACATCGAATTCAAGTAAAATTACCAATTACCCACTTTGACAGTTAATCGAGACATCAGCTGCGCTAAATGGTCTACCTATTCATTGTGCATGCCAACATCAATCGAACAAATCGAACAAAGTCCGAAAGTCCATCCATCAGAGGTCTAGTGGTTTAGTTAGTTGTCGTTTATTTAATAACAAAGATGTTCAAAGTTGTCGAAAAAGTTGCTCCGTCGAATAAAACGAAATATTTATTGCGTCTATATGCTACGGCTGCACCGAAAACCACTGCCGAAGCTAAACGCGAAGTAAAAAAGCCCCAAGAAAATGCCTCCTTTATGGCAAACATCTTTCGTGGCAATTTAGCTTCAACTCAGGTCTTTCCCTATCCCGATGTACTTACCGAAGAGGAAAAAGAGCTCACCGCCAGTTTAATTGATCCATTTGAACGGTTTTTCCGTGAAGTGAACAATGCAGCACGGAACGATGAAAATTCCCAGATTGATGACGAAACCTTGAATCAATTGTGGGAATTGGGTGCGTTCAGTATTCAGGTTCCTAACGACTTTGGTGGCCTTGGTCTTAATAATACCCAATATGGTCGTTTGTGTCAAATTGTGGGCGCTAATGATCTGGGTTTGGGCATTACAATTGGTGCCCATCAAAGTATTGGCTTCAAGGGTATTTTGTTGTATGGTACCCCCGAACAAAAGGCCAAGTATTTGCCACAGGTCTCCGGTAAAGTATATGCTGCCTTTGCTTTAACAGAGCCCAGTGCTGGATCTGACGCTGGCTCCATTAAGTGCAGAGCTGTGAAGAGTGCCGATGGCAAACATTATATTTTGAATGGCTCGAAAATTTGGATTTCCAACGGTGGCATTGCTGATATCATGACTGTTTTTGCCCAAACTGAAATAACTGATCCTACGACCGGAGAAAAGAAGGATAAGGTAACAGCTTTCATTGTTGAACGAGGCTTTGGCGGAGTTACAAATGGAGCTCCCGAAAAGAAAATGGGTATTAAATGTTCCAACACCGCTGAGGTGTACTTTGAAGACGTGAAAATTCCAATTGAAAATGTTTTGGGCAAGGAAGGTGAAGGTTTCAAGGTTGCAATGAATATTTTGAACAATGGCCGCTTCGGCATGGGCGCCACCTTGTCGGGCACAATGAAGCACTGCATTGCCAAGGCTGTGGAACACTGCAACAACAGAACCCAGTTTGGAAAGAAACTGAAGGACTACAAGGGTATACAGGAAAAGATTGCCCAAATGTGTCTAATACAGTACGCCACCGAGTCTATGGCTTTCCAAATTTCACAAAATATGGATGCTGGAAGTCAAGATTATCATCTGGAGGCCGCTATTTCCAAGGTATTTGCTTCGGAGGCAGCTTGGTATGTCTGTGACGAGTCTATACAGATCTTGGGTGGTATGGGTTTCATGAAGGAGACCGGTTTGGAACGTATTTTGCGCGATTTGCGTATCTTCAGAATTTTTGAGGGTACCAATGATATTTTGCGTCTATTTGTTGCCCTCACTGGTATCCAGTATGCCGGATCACATCTCAAAGAACTGCAAAAGGCTTTCAAAAATCCTGCCGCTAATTTGGGATTGATCTTTAAGGAGGCTTCACGTCGCGCCGCCTCCTCTGTGGGTATTGGTGGTATCGATCTTTCGCCTTTCGTTGCCCCCCAACTGACATCCACAGCCAAAGATGCAGGCGAATGCATCGACTTGTTTGGAAAGACGGTTGAAACCTTGCTTGTTAAATACGGGAAGAATATTATTCATGAACAAAATGTATTGAATCGCTTGGCAGATTCTGCCATCGATATTTACTCTATGGTTGTTACCCTATCACGATCAACAAGAGCCGTAAACGAGAAACTGGAAACCGCCGATCATGAAGTGGAGCTAACCAAGGCCTGGTGTTATCAGGCAAATGAAAGATGCCGAACAAATCTCAAACATGCCACGTCGAGTGGTCATGCCAGCTTCTATAAGGATTTGTCGAAAATCGCCGAGACAGTTTTAGAAAATGGTGGTGTTAAAACAACGAATATTGTGGGTTAGGACCTCAACGAAACTGCTACACATTGCCACCAACCATTATTAAAGGGAAATTATCCACCAGCTCTGTGATTTTTGTAAGAAGCAAAGAAAATCGTTATCCGTTGTTTTCATTTGTTGTTCTTCCTAACCTTCAGAGTGTCTAAAATGAATGTTTGTTGGCATTGCAAATACGCTTCAATGATTTTCCGTAGTATAACGAACAAAATGAAACGCATACAATGAACAGCAACAACAACAACGATTGCCAAAATTGTTCCATTTTTGTGAAATGATAATGCCTAAAAAAATGTCTCGTAGCTTCTTTCTTGGTGGATAATTTCGTTGCCAAATTTATCGTGTTAGTAATCGAGCTAGATATAAATATATGTATGTATGTTAACGAATTATTGTTTAGTAAATTTGAAGTATTTTTTAAACTAATAAAAGTGCCTTCTATATAAAAAATAATTTAAGATCTGTTTACTTTCAAGATTGTCATTATTCAACACTATCGTTATCATCAGTCAAAGTCCATAAATTGGACCTATAGATTCTACCCCCCTGATTAATTGACTCCTTTCTACTTGTGATTTTTGTTTTTCGCCGGAAAAATGTATTAAATAAAAAATTCGATAGGCATTAGTTATTGTTTTTGTTAGAGACATCGTGACATAGTTTTGAATCGTTTATTATGTCTGAACGATGATTACGTTGTGATTAAAATACCACTCGACGATGTTGGTCGTATCAAAGTTCACTTTTTTCTTTGTCATGGGGGTTTGGCTACTTTGACGTCATTTGTTTTTTAGCGGTGCTTTATTAACGTACTAGCGTATGTTATTGTTGTTTTTTTTTGTCTTGTATTTTTTAAATTGTTGTTTGCGAAATGAAGAATTTTGTAGGTCAACGTTTGTTTTTTTTGCGTATTCTATTTACTTGGAACTGTTGGTCATTTTTGTTTGAATCAAGAACGATTCATGGAGTCCGATAACTCTTAAAACAAGTCCAAATTTTGAAGTATTTTACATATGTATATTCAATGGATGGTCTGTTCCCGTACTGCAGGGTTATACTAATTTTTACTATTTTCTTCAATATCATTAAGGAATAATTGTTATCGAAGTAAAAATTGTACGTTCTTGCAGGTTCTGGAACAGACAATTTAAATCCAGCGTGTTAATAAAATGTATTATTAGATCATATTCTGTGATGTTGGCAATATCACATTGCTTCATGGTACCCCCGAAAAAAATACAAAGTATTTGTCAAAGGTTTACAACGACAAGGTACATGCTGCATTTGATTCAACATAACCCAGTGCTGGAGCTGATGCTGACTCTATTAAATTTAGATCTGTAAAGAACACCCAGAGATCCCATAAACAGTAGCTTTTTGGTCTGAAATCTATTATATAACCAGGTGACGGTTCGGTTGGAAGTTGTTTCGATAACTAGCAATGTGAGTCCTGATTACAATATTATTTTTTTTTTTTGCATAAGTCCATTTGTGTCTATTTAAAGTATATTCTGTCGTGTAGGCGGTCCACGATCGAAAGCCGACACCCTGTCCATCCCAAAGAAAAAAGGTTCACAACGGAATTTTGGAGGTCCATATTAAAGAATGGGGTGATCCCTCTTTCTTCTCAATTGTTGATACTGATCTCCCCGCGATGTCTCCTGGAGTAGCTACTTTCATCTTCCGTTGAAATAATAGACATGTGCCGCGAGTTCACCATAAGAACTATAAAAAATATGTTAAGGCGTTGGGTTAGTTGCCCACACTCGGAAATCCCGTATAAAAGCGAAGTTCTTCTACATCAGTCTCATTTGCGCCCATGCTCCGACGGAAGACAAAGATGAACAAACCAAAGAAATATTTTAAGAGCGCCTAGAAACAGTATATGACAGCTGCCCTGGCCATGACATTAAAATTCTGCTAGGAGATTTAATGCAAAAATCGGAAGGGAAAATTTTTTTCGATCACACCGTCAAAAAATTCAGCCTCCACGAAGAAACATGCGCATCGGCAGGAGGTTGAGTGAAACAAGAAAAGCGTGAGCTTGAGCAAATCGAGATGTACAGGAGTCAGAAAGAAGTGGCAGATATGCTGAGGATCTGGAAAGAGCATTTTGAAAAACTTCTGGTACCAAATAGTGGCGGTGAAGAGGATACCATCTAGAACCAATAATAGATGACGGTATAGAGTGTACACCACCTAGTCAAGATGAAGTCAGAGTAGCAATTAATCGGCTAAATAACAATAAAGCAGCAGGTGCTGATGGATTACCAGTCGAACTATTTAAGACCGGTAGTCAGACGCTGGTCAGGAGCATGCATCTGCTGATTGGTACAATTTGGCTAGAGGAATGCATGCCCAATGATTGGAACCTCAACATCCTGTGTGCCGTGCACAAAAAAGGAGACAAGACGATGTGTGTCAACTCCTTTCCATCGCATATAATGTGCTATCCAGCGTGCTGTGTGAACGACTGAAGCCAATGGTCAATGACATTATTGGACCATACCAATGCAGCTTCAGACCTGGCCATTGACCAGATTCCGCGCCAAATACTGGAAAAGACCCACGAAAAAGACATCGACACATTCCAACTAATCGTCGACTATAAAGCCGCATTTGACAGCCCTATCCGTTCAGAGGTGTTTAAAGCCATGTCTGCGGTTGGCATTTCTGCAAATTAATACGGCTATGTAGGATAACATTCACGGGTACAAGATCAGCAGTTAAAGTCGGAAAGGACCTCTCGGAGCCCTCCAATAACGAACGAGCATTCAGAGAAGGTGACAGTTTGTCGTGTGACCTTTTAAACGTCCTGCTGGAAAAGCTCATACGAGATGCAAATGTGAACAGAAATTACACTCTGTACACCAAACAGCATATGTTACTCGCCTACGCCGCGACATCGACATAATGGGTCGAACATTGCGAGCGATAACAGGCACCTTTGAACGAATTGAGAAGGAGTCTGGTAAAGTGGGACTGACAGTAAATGGCGAAAAAACCAAATACAAAAATAAAGCCATTTTGTTTTGTGTTCTCTTAAATTAGGTTGAATGTTTTACCAGTTTTGTAGGTTCAGGAACGTTTTTCGAGTAAAAACTTGAAAAACTTGTAAAATTAGTAGATTCTTGTAGGCTCTGGAACAGAACTATTGATTGGAATACTTGTATTTAACTTTTGAGCTGAATAAAATTGTACGCATGCATTTAGTTATGACCCTAAAATTGAATCAATGTAAACATGCTATTGAAAAATGTACTGGTACACACTATTGAACAAATTGATTATGGCAGCCACATTTATTATAACATAAGTGGCAACTTCATAATGTTTGATTCGGTTAGTGGTCGTTTACACATTGGGACTAGTCCGAGCATCTCGTATATTTTGCGGCATTTTTAATTTCGTAAAAACACATAACGTTGTGCAGATATCCTCTACACATCCATCGACTATACATTGGTAATAATTTAGTAGGAAGTTTTGACCCCACTGAGAATACAAAACATCACATGAGAACCAATTCCGAATAATGCGGGGTTCTGTGATATGGGGCCCAATGATAGCTTTTTTTTTTTTTATTTATTTCAAGAAAAAATATACACATAATAATATAATAGCCCCAGCGTCTCTTGGGCATTTTAGGGGCAACTGATAAAAATTTCAAAACATACTTTCAAAATAACAAAGAATAAAAGTGAATAGAAATTCACGTAGAAAAAATTTATGACATTAGAAGCATTTCGATATTATTTAAAAGAAATAATTTTAGGTGGGATTTAAAATTTGAGATTCTGGGAATATTTTTCAGACTTTGAGGGAGATGATTGTATTCAGAACAACCGGTATGTTCAATGCGCTGTTTTGTGGTTTCTAACCTGCATCTTTTAATATAAAGGTTAGAACTATTTCTCGTATTAAAATGTGTTTGATTTTGCGAAAACCGTATGACGTGATAACCAATGTTCTTTATAGATTTGTACATGTATGTTAATAGTTGCATTTTGTAAAGTCCGTATAGTGGTAAAATAGTTTTAGATACATTTTTAAACAATAATGCCGTCGAATACATTTTTGGAAGATTGTAAACGATTCTGAGAGCCTTATTTTGTGATCTCTGCAAATATTTAAAATCTGTATTTTTTTTATAACAGTATACCATTGGTAAATAATTATAATGGCTATGCATAAGGGCATTATATATTAAAACCTTCGTTTTTTCATCAAATTTGTTTTTGAATTTATAAAGTATACCAATTACAGGAGCTACTTTCGTTCTTAAATACTGCAAATGAGTATTCCATGTCAGATTGCTTTGAAAGTATAGACCTAAATACTTGATGGAATTGCTTAACATCACTATCGATAATTTCCTGCCAGAATATAAAATTATAACAAATATGGATGGGCCATGGTATAATTATATATATATATATATATACATATATATTATATATATTATATACATATATATTATATATATATTATATATTATAATTATTGTACCATGGGATGGGCTATACCAAACATCACAATAGGCGTGCAAAATTTCAATTTATCAAAATTTTCATTTATCGTGATCGATATAATATAATTATTTAATTTTAATCAAGAAAAGTAGTAGTAGTAGTTGTTGAATTTTCGATAATATATGCTTAGACCTTTATAGCGCGTTTAGACTACTAAATCCACACGATCTGAACATCCTAGGAAAAACTCATGTTATAATAGAACCTTCAATATACCGAAAAAGACGCGAGAAAATAATGTTTTAATGAGTTTTTATTTCGATTTTTTGTTAATTTTTGTAAATATTTGTTGATCTCTAGTTATTAAAGCAATTTCTGGCCCATACTCTGTATTTACTTTTTATACAAATGCTGAATTTTGCCAATTTTAGGCTTACAGTACGAATTGTTGCTGATTTGAATAGATTTTACAGAATTTATATTTTTTTTCTTCTGAAAATGACTTATCGGACTTATTTTGCTAACACGAAGCTATTTTTTGTATATATTTTTAAATATCAACGGCATTTAAAATTCCATGATTATTTTCTATTTTCACACTTAATCGGTTGAGTGCAATACACATAAGCGTTTTGAATAAAAAAATATTAAAAATATTCCAAACGGTTCGAGGGTTAATCAAAACATGTTTCCCTTCATGTGTGTGCTAATTACGTGGCCACTACTGTATATACTTTTGCAAACCAAATGAAAATTTTAATATTCCCTTCACCTTGTTATGATGGAGGGTATAAATATCATGCTTTATCGTACCCACTAATGTTAACATTTTACCTACACACAAATTGAAGTAACAAATTGCGCCGATTATGCGCAAGATCAAAAATAAATATAAAAAGGATAAAGGGGGAAAATAGAATGCTCGTGGGAGAGGAAGAGAACAAAACAGCTCCGAATGTAATGTCAAGGCAACGACTGCCTCGGCTTAATAAATGCCACCCCCTCTCCGGTTAGCACAATGCTGGTGCAAGAGACTATAATTAATTCTAAAAAACAAAATCATTATCTCTTATTTGTATTTCACTGCGTGTGTGTTTATGTGCAAGTCAGAAGAAACATGGCATCGGCGCACTTATTCGTTCATTCGTTTGTTTTATTTATTTTTTGTTATATGCTGATGCATTGAAATTGGGGATTGATAAGAAAAAATATGGATGAGCAGAACACAACGAACGACCCAACACAAGCGCCCTAAACACCACGGCAAACGACGACGACAACGGCGGTTGTATGTGTGCGTGTGTATGCGCAACAGTGAGAAGGAGAGAGCATTTCGCTTTTCTGTTCTGTTTTGTGACAACCGCAACGACCCCAACCGACCAACTCTCTCCGTGAAGCTGTTACTCTCCGGCTAGCTCGGTGAAAATTATATACATATGTCACCGAGAGAGAACTATTCGCGTTCGGGTGGTTTCCGTTTCGTCGAGAACTCAGTGTTCTAGTCAGTCGTTCTGAAAGCGTGAAACGTGTTAATTCTGATATATTTATTGGATGAAGTAACCAGCGGCCTAGTACAAAAAAACCAACAACAACAAAAAGAAAACAGAACCCCAAGGAAAATTATATACGAATGTTTGTGCGTGTGTGTATTGTGTGCTTCATTGTTTGCCTGCTTAAGTGAAATTGTTGTTGTTTTAAAATAAAAAACCACAATAAAAGCTAGGGGAGATACATTGAAGAAAAACAATATAACAACAAAATATATTATTGTTTGTTGTTGTTTTTTACAACATTATATTATTTAAATAATTGCTATGCTGCTGTCACTGAAGTTGAAGTTGGATTTTGATGAGTTATTCAATTGCAATGTTCTTACTAGAAGTCAGTGAATAAAAAATAGTTTAATGCTATTATTTACATAAAACGAATAAAGCAGCAGGTCGTCGTCGTTGTCGGTCTTATCGTCGACCGTTGTGTTATCAGCATCAAAAATCAAAAAATATTTCCGTCAAACCACACACACACATACAGACCATGAGGAACTCAACAACAACAAACACGAACACTAACTCTGTCAACAATAATGTCACTGTGACCATAGCGCCAAATAAGGTGAGTAAATAACTGTCACAACAGCAAGTGATTGTAATGATGTTGTTGTTGTTGTTGTTTTTTTATTATTTTGCTCTTTAATATTGTTATTGCATTTTATTGTGAGAGGATGTCAAGAAAGTACCTGGGGGATGGGGAAATATATGTAGGTGGCACTTGCAATTGTAATTTGACGGCTTTTAAGCTATTTGTGCGCCGAAGCAAAAACAATGACAATTGACTTGTCATCAGACATGCCATTTCAATTTATTCCGTTGTCAATGTCACACAGCATTTGAATCTCTTCTCTCACAGACAAGGCAATGTGAGACAAACAATTAACATATGATTGAGTTTTTATATTTAGGGTAATAATGATCATCACAAGTGACATTTGTAATTAAAGAAAATGTTGATTATCAAAATACTGTTCTGATTTTGAAAATGAAACCATTTCATTCTGCATGGCTCATGATTAATGTGTGGATTGCCCTCACAACATAAATAACGGCAATTTTTTACGTTTTTTGAAATAACAGCTGTTGTGGGTGACCTTATGATTAGACCTGGATTTAATCGTCGTTCATTTGTCATTTCCTTGGATTTACGCAAAACATTTTTTGGGTAAATCCAGCTTTGAAATTTTACACAGTGCAACTACACAACGGGCCCGTAACAATTTTAGATATTTAAAAGCAAAGTTCTTGCATTAAATTTCAAATATAGGTATTTTGTAATCTCACCGTATTTCACATATTGTAAGGTTAATTTTCCAAACGAAGTGACTTTAATTTTGCATTTCAGGCTCTTAGAGAAAAAACTACTCAAAACTAAATTATACAAATTAATCAATCTTTTGTAAATGCACGAGTTATGGTATGTTTTTATAAAATAATTAAAACTGGGATTCCAGAGATGCTTTATTTATTTATTATTTCATAATAAAGCATAATAAGGCCAAACTAAATATATTACAGTCTTAAAATGTATGCCTAAAATATTAATTTCTATTCATATAATTAAACACTAAACACATTCTTCTTCATTTCTATCCCCACGCAAACAGGTGGAGAAAGTAATGTTCGATAATCGTATTAAGCGGAAAAATGTATTGGCCTTAAATGAAAAAGTCGCCGCTATACGAGAATATGAAAAACGGCCGATCTACAAGCGCATTGGCCGCATGTTCCAGTGCAGTCCGGATCAGATCAAACGCATTGTCCAACAAAAGGAAACCATTCTGAAGGCCTGGGAGCAGAGAACACGTAAAAGTCGTGATGCCAAAACATTGGAAATGAAAGTGGTACGCGTTTCAATGCTGGGCAAAGCAGTCTACGAATGGATACGACGCATGATGTACTACAAGGATATACTTATAACCGATGGCTTGATACAAAAGATGGCGTTGCAATTTAAAAGTGCCATGGGTTTGCAGAACTTCTTTCCACACAAAGAATGGTGTGATAAGTTCCGAGCCACGTATAAAATCCATGCATGTGATAGTAAAACATTAAATATTGGCTATACCCAGGGTCACTCGGTACAGATTAAAGATGTTATGAAGGATGTCCTGTCGGAGTGTAGTCCCAGCGAAGAAGACGAAGAAAACGATGTTATGTCGAATGATGATTGTATCAGCATTGACAGCAGTGATATGGACAATGAGGGAAATAACCATAGAAATCGAAATTCCACCAACATTAACAATAAAACACTGGTCCTGCCCACAACATCTACATTGCCTGCAGGCAATACCATGAAAGGAATGCACCAATTGGTGGCATTGCCGTTACAAGGAAATGGCATATCACCGGGTATTGGACAGAAAGTATTGGTAGCAACTCCAATTGTGCAACCGGGACAAAAACCAAGTTCGGGTCCCATGACTATGACCATTATTCCGTTGACAAGTCTGGGTCAAGCTGCATTAAATAACAGCAATCTGAATGCGAGCAACGTGATGGCGGCATTAAGTAATAATTCCCCAGCGACTAGCTTTAGTTTTGCCCCCAAAAACAAAAATGTACAACCAGAAACAAACAATGATGATAATATTAGTGTACCCAATCCCATAATGGAAATCAAACAGGAAATCAAAGAAGAACCAAAAGATGAAGAATTTTTGGAGGAACATAAGGAAGCCACAAACCCTCCTGAAGCGACAACTGATGTCATTAAAATTAAAAAGGAATATGTAACAGATGATGAAGAGGAATTAACATCGTCAGCTGTGGCGGCGGCTGCGAATAAACCCCCAATGAATATGCCCACCTTATTGCCAGCCCATGTGGTTGCCATTCCGATACACAACAGAGATATGTTGGAAGAATCCTCTAAAGATTCACTTGATGATTTAACATTGTCATCGTTGAGAAAACGTATCAAGACTGAGAAAATCTCCGAGGATGAGGAACAACAGCTCGAACAGCAAAGCAAACCCGAGGAACAAGAACAAACTACGTCACAGAGAGAATCAGCAGCGCCACCACAACCACCAGCGAAGAGAACTAGGACATCATTGCCTCCGCTAACAAAAGCACCGACATTTAATGAAACCACAACAACAAATTCTCTACAATCTTATGATTCGTCTACTTCTGTTTCTTCTTCATCGGGAACTATTGGCACACAAAAACGTAAAAATCACAACGACGATTATATCAATGAGTGCCCAGAGGAGTTACCCGCCATACGCACTTGTGCCGAGGCCCGTAAATATTTAAAATTAATCGAAGATTTTGCATTGGAACGTGAAAATTTCCGTTTAATCGGTTTAATAACACGGGCCGATGAAGTCTTGCGAGAATTGGACCGAAAGGAGGCCAATGGTAGTGTACAGGATAATGAAGATGATGTAGATATTGATTAGAGAGAAGTCATATATTTTCAATTGATAAAGCAAATGTTGGTTTTAGGACGTCATATTACATTTTTTGTTTTTTTTATCCTATTTTCCTAAAATTAGCATATTTGGATAGAAGAAGTGAATCAAATCCCATAATGAAAATCAAAGAAAATCCAAAAGATGAAGATTTTCGATATTTTTTTATGTTTTACGTCCTAAGACTTTTCTTCTGTCTTAGAATAAAGTTTGAATTTAGTTTTTTTTTTTTAATATAGAAAAATATAAAAACAATATTTTGTTTAAAAACAAAAAACAAAAATAATGTATGTATATAAACAATTAATTTATATAATAAGTTATTATACAAAAACTGTATGTAAATATATTTTCTATGAAAATTAATACGAATAGAAAAACTTGAAGTTTTTAATCTGTAAATTTGTACCAAAGAGAAAATAATATATAAATAAAGGCCCATATTGAATTTATAAATATATATGTTTGTGTGTTTGCCCCAAACATTTGTATACGGAAACTATTTTATCTGAGGTAAGTTATATGGCTGGCTGTAAAGCATGCGCATGTCTAGCTTTTTCTTGAGAATTTTACCATAATCTAAGAAATGAGTAATTTATTTTGAGAACATTTAAATATTTATAGATGTATGTACGAGTGTGTGTGACTCGTTTTTTTGTAAAATTTTTTCACCTACTGTTCTTCACTCATATAAGACTAAAAATAATCGTCAACGTTCGGGGAAAGTGAACATTAAAAATATCGCTAATATAATCAAGAAAAATACTTTCAATAAATAACCCGTAAGCGAAGGACGAACGTTGGACAGGGCCTCATTGGATGCATACAGATATAATAATAATCTTATTGTTATCCATAATCTATACGGTTTGTGGATGTAGATGAGACCTTCTTGTCTATCGGACAGACCTAGAATATTTGGTTCACCACTGATAAGACAAATTATATTTAGAATCTATTTCCAAATCTGAAATGTTTTACAGTCTTATCGTTACCATATGCGAAACTTCATGTCAATTTGAGAAAAATTGGGTATGTATTTTGTAAACCATTGACGTGAAATGGAAAGAACATATATACGACAGCATATGTGTTACTTCCAGCTCTCAGTGGCTTCAATTCTGTATAGGTCGACTTGGTTATAAGTGTGTCCTACTACCAACCTTTTAATCAGATTTGTTATTGATATTTTTCATGGTTTTTTAAAAACACATTTAATGAATTGGAAGAATAAACTGCCTTTTGATTCAGAACATGGCCTGCTTTTATGTAAGATTAATCCCCATTGGTGTTTCAGATATCCACCTCCTCGTATGTGGTCCAAACCACATACGAGTTTTCCTATTTTGATCACATAGGTAAATTATGTAAAGTCTGCCTATAAAGATGACCCGGTTACCATATTCAACCTCCGCTAAAACCTACAGCGTCTTTTTAATGAAATAAAGTTCGCAAAACTAAATTTTAAACGCCATTTTATGTTTATTTGAAACAATATTAGAATCATAAATAAAAATAAAAAAAAATAGTTTGAGACATATTTTAAAATGCTCAGACATAAAAATAAGAATTATAAAATTTAGTTTTCGCCAAAAAATAATATTCTTATAATAATAAATAGGAGGAACATTATCTTAAACGTATAAGCAAAGACAAATAGAACAATACATAAATGAATATAAAATCTACTATTTTGTGTGGGGGCGGTAGTTACAACTACGAAGACATTTTATAATTAACAACCGTATCGACTTTATGTAAACCAGTCGAAAATGAACGTAGCTGCACAGCCTGGGCATTTTGTATAAATGCCGGTCCCGTTTCATCCCAACTATCGGGTATATCACAAGTTTGGATAGTATGAATCATGACATCAAATGTACAAATACAATCCAACAGCGGTAAATAGGTAACTGTTGCCGATATCTGACGCATAACATCTCGGATTTCATTTTGTATGCGTTTTAGCTCTTTGGATGAGGTCAGTTTTTGGGGATCGATTGTTTCGCCATCACCTAGCTCGGCGTTCATTTTGAAGTCCCAACATTCCAGAACTTCTTTTGTGTGGGCATTGGTAATGACCATTGACACTTTATGTATCATATTTTTCGAAAGCCATTCTGGGCAAAACAATAAAAAACAAATTACAACTACTTCAAATGTAACTAAACCCGCCAAGCTTACCTTCTGTCTGTTCCAATACTTTCTTTAGAAATTCCTCAATTTTGGGATCCTTGGACATGAGTATTGTAAGGCCGTATTGCTGCGTACTTTCAAATGTTTCAGCTGGATATATTCCTCTTTGAAACAGTATTGAATTAATGCCATATTTCAAATATTCGGCAATAATTTGAGCTGATCCTTTGAGGGTGATACAATTTTTGGTAGCCTGAGCAGTCGACATTTTTCGATGACGTTGAATATAAAATATTTTGTTTTTTCTTTTTTGGAAATTTCGTATTCTTCCGCAAAGTGAATCCTTTTTTGCGAGTGAATGCTTTTCTCGCGCCTTTTCAGCGAATACAAAAAAATGAAAAACGTTCCACCTGCTAACGAATGGAAGGAAAAGACCAAATGGCCGATAAAGATAAACTCAAAGTTGTATAACCGAAGTATTACGAATGAGGTGGAATGGAGACTGAATGATAACCGTATTGTTTACAACGCATACACTCACCGCAGCTGCAGTCAGAGAACCGAGCCATTCTGAAATGTTAATGTGTGACGGCGTTCTTATATGCATGTTGACAACGCAGAAGTTTGCTGACATAAAACTATTTAAATCGAAAAGTCTAAAAGTGGACTTTTACTATCGACACAAATTTTCCGGTGTTAACTAAAAACACCAAGTCTGGTACGGCGATGTAAATGAAGTACAAAGTTGCCAGGCCCAAATTAAAAAAGAACGTGAGCCAGGAAGTTCCTCTGCTTCCTGACTCACGTTAATAAAAAATCAAAAACATTATCGTAATAATGAGCATATAATTTTAAAACATATTTTTCAGTGTATGCAAGTGAAGCACAATAATTAACACGGTATCTATAAGGGAAAAAATTTACATTTTGGCAATGAAACTGGCAAATTAAAATCCACTGGATTTACTAAACCCAGTACAATGTGAATGTACTATACTATAGATTAGATACTACTATATTGTACTGTCGAATTGCTTTTTTAAATTAATAGTATGAAAACTTAAGCAACAATTTGTAACAGTATGCGATTTAAGAAGCGTTTTGACTTCCACTCGATTTCAAACGTCAATTATTTTACGTTTAGATTTACCGATTTGGTAAATCAAATCAAATTATAAATTCAATGGCCTATTTATATAACTACATGGCATCTACCTTACAGCATAGCTACTCTAAAACAAATTCATATAAATATATTATATTTAATATTTTAAATATTTTTTTAGTTTTTAAATATCAATAACTAATTCTTACAAATAAATTATCTTATACCATAGACAGACGACAGCCTTAATTGGCATTAAAAATGTTTTAATTTGAATTAATATTTACCCCTGACAGACGAGAGTTTCTGCATTTACAAAACAGTTTTTTGCTTCAAAACAATTGTTTGTCTGTGTGTAGGATGAACATTTTTTACATTTGTTTCGATATTTTTCGGGATTACATCTTTAGGAAATCTATACATGACATAAAGGATGAATAGCAACTATGATCTTAGCAAAACAGCTCCCATTTTAAAAAATGGTTGAAATTTTGCCTTCATTTCCTATTTTTATTTTCATAAATATAAATAAATTTGACAAGAAACAATTAATTTTCGACAGCATTGCCATATTGAAATTGCCTAATTCAGCATAAATTCAGTTTGATTTTGTGCATTAACAACACATAAAAATGAGGATAATGTTCAAGTTAATTTGAATTAAGGCTGTTAATGCAAATTAAGGCTGTCGTCTGTCTAGGCTATTAAAAATGTTAAAACATTTTGAATATAGTTATGCGAAGTCACTTTTAAAATCATCATGGCGCCATGGCTACTCAAATTATTAAATTAATGTTAAAAAATATTTTATATGTTTTTGAAACAAGACAAACATACTTGTCCAACTTCGAGTTTGCATATCTCGTATATCGTTGAACAATACATGTTTATTATCATTCTACGACATTTGTTGTTTTCCCCATGACATGGCTGACGATCAGCTGTTCTCCTTTGAATAGCGTATACAGCTGTTTGAAAATAATTCCAACAGCTGTTCAACTAATATACACACAAATGCTACAGTTCGTTGACAGTTCGTAATACTGTCAAAAAATATAAGCTATTGTCAGCTGGTTATTCTTGTATTACAACGAAACTACGAAAAAAGAGAAGTAATTGTAAAAAATTATTGGCAAAAGTTTTCTTTTATTTTTCTAAACACAAGTGAAAATATTGACAAAATGAGCGATCATCTGACATATCCGGTGTATTTTTTAAAAGGGTACATGGGCTATGAAAATGAAGAAATGTGGGATATTAATTCCGCGGAGCTGGAAATGATTGACATAGAAGCTGAAACAACAGACGACGACAACGATGAAAATGTAATATCTGGCTATGAAATAGTCCAAATCGACGAATACGAAATTTCTAATAAAAATATTCAAACCAAACCGTTATCGATCGAGGAAACGGAAAAGGTTGCAAATTCAAAGAAGATACTGCAAATTCAAGAGGTGGATACAGAACCAAACTTGGTTTTATCAGAATCGTCGAAACATTTCAATTTATTTACGCCAAAACAATTACCCCAAACTGTTAACTTGGCAAATGTAAGACCTCCACCTGCAGTAGGTAAACGGAAGAATAAAAATGCCTGTTTGAATACATCGAATGTTAAACAGACTTCTGATGTAAAGAATGCAAGTAATGCATTGACTCCGTATCCGGAATGTCCCCTCTGTAAAATTTTATTTCCGAAATTTGGTGCGTTAAAACAACATTTCGAATTTGCCCATCCCGGTAAAGAATGCCACATTATCTGTTGCGATCGTAGACTCACGCACCCTAAAGAAATTGTCGACCATATTTATCATGAACATGAACAGGAGCCCGATGACTCGATTCAAATAAAATCAAGGGAATACGAACAATTTATACAGCATTACTTACCCAAAATGCGGTGTGCTTTTTGCTCGAGTGAACACAATAGTTTTGTGTCGCTCAAGGAGCACTTTATGGCCCAACACCCGGAGGAAATTTGTTCCATTACCTGTTGTAATCGCAAATTTTCCCGCCTGGAGACAATAACCGAACACATACGAGTCCACTTGGATCCGCAAACATTCCACTGTCGTCTGTGCAACAAGTCGTACATGACCAAAGTCCATCTGGATAGTCATATGCGTCAAACACACGCAATGCTCAGTAACAATTTACTATATTACTATTCCGCCGATGTATCGAGGACAAATAAATCGGTGGCAAGGATCAAATTTGAGGACCTTAATGAATTCATAACGGCTTTTATACCACAATTGAAATGTGTTGTTTGTTCGGCAGTATATCAGAATTTTAGCCAATATATTCGTCACTTTGCCGTCTGCCATCCATGTTTCAAATGTAAAATTGTTTGTTGTGGTCTGCATATTCACGAGCGTCATGACATCGAGGAACACATACATTTGCACAATGATCCAAGTGGTTTTATGTGCATAGTTTGTCGCATGAAATTCCGAAAAAGGTCCTATCTATTTGAACATATGTGTCGTCATCATCCATTTTCGGGTAATAGTGATGTTTTGAATTGTAAATGGGTTGAGGAGTTTAATAAGAAGGTAAGTGGCATGGATAAGTTGAATTTCAATTATTAAATTTGAAGTTTTCTTTCTTTTTTTAGTTTGAAATTAGCATCAAGAGGTTTTCATAAATCGTCTGTCTTAATAAATATGTACAAGATATTGAAAAGTTTTGACTTTAGTTTTTGTTTACGGGAACAAACGCACACATAATATATCCTTATATTTATATTTTCCAACTTTTGCTAAATTGTCAATGCTATTTGCTACGAAGCATGGGGACAGCTACGAAGTATATTATTGATTGGTTCCTAATCGTCGTCTTTTTATAAGCGGTTGTAGTATAGTTTCCATGATTACTTAAGACTTACTGGCCGAGTAAGAATCGGGTGGTTTCGAATCGTAGACTCCTCTGTCGTGGAAATTTATATTGTAATATCTTCTGATCATTCCATAATTCCGACTAGGTTTAAAATTATTACTATGTTCATCAGTCGACTGAGACACACCATGTTGTTTTGTTTTTTTCTATTGCTACAATCTGTGCATTAAAACACGTAGCACTCAAAGTAACGCCAACACATTTCTATTACAAATACAACTAATGTTCTCAGCAGGTTATAAAAAAGTAATCTCTTTCAATTAAGGTAACTAGAAAGTTTTAACAGACCCATGATGATGTCGCCCTACTCAGATTTAATTTAATGCAAATGTATAAATTATTTTTTTCTCTCTCTCTTAATATCACATTACAGAATATACCAATAATTTCACACATCCCAAAAAACAAGCCTATTAAACAGAGCGAGGAAAAGAAGCCAAAGAAGCGGTGTAATGAAAAAACATCCAACATAAATCTGAAAGATGAAGAAATCAGCGCTATTAATAAACTTCTTTTGGAATGGGGTACACGAGCACATATAAACGATGATCAATATATTGGTATAGCAGAAATCAAAAAACAAGCTAACCTATTGCGAAATATACTTAACGTCGACGACTACAAGTGTGACAAGCAATTCATTGTCAAATTTTATGAAGCTGTGGCGAAAAAATCTCAAGTTCTACCACCTGGTTCAATGTATTATTCGCTGAATTATATGGATATTTTGGAAAATTGTAAACAGCGCATACATCCCTCGGTGTATTCAGCTTTTAGGGATAAACTACTAGCCATTGCACCGCCGCAAATATTTAGAGACCAACTAGTTTTGTAGCCAATATATATTGTAACATGTTTGCAATGCCTACAATTTGAGAAATAAACTTAAAAATGTTAAGAAGTACTTTTTATTGGAAACGATTTTAAATGCCTGATGATAAGGCTTTAAAAAACGTTTCTTCTGCAAATTCCTTTATAAACACCTTAAAATGGTAATGACATTTCACATATAACTTATACAAGTACGCCGAGTAAAACTTAATAACCATACAATTTTATTGCTCTTCCGAAATCTGCTTGAATCTAATCGTTATTATTTTTATTTACTTTCGCATTTTACATGAAGGACTATGTATGTATAAATTTTAAAATATAATGTATTTTTTGTAAATGCACACAGGTTAACTGTTTCTTTAATTTGTGATGGTTATAATTCCATTTTATTAATTTCAGAATTTAAAAATTCTTGCCATAAATTACAAACAGTATCTTTATCAGCAATAATATTAATTATTTCATTTCTATTGAAACATCTCTCCATAATACATTGGACATTCGATATATTAGGATATTGCTCACAATAGTTTAGAACTAAGAGTTTCCTATATAAATTTAAATGCTGGGGGTTTAGGACCTGCAAGCAAAAAATATTTAATAAACGGTTTCAATATAACTGCAATTGATATATCACCCTATATGTGTATACATAAGATATATTGATATGCATTCCACAAAAAAAAACATGTGGAATAGATAAAATTTCGTCACTATATGAGTTTATTAAAATTAAAATATCTGCATGTGCATTTCCTTTACTTACATAATTTTTACCCAAAACATCCAGAAATGAAACACGTAAGAAAATCTCACTATATTGTGTCAATTCCAATGCGGAACCTTGTGATTCTCTAATAAAATAGAAAAAAATTGTTCTTAACATGGAATAACATTTACATATGTAATAAAACAAAAATCAACACTATTCGTGATCGGATCTTAACTAAAAACTTAAAAATAAGATTACTTACTTTATCATATTTTCATATGAAATGATAATAGGGTCTTTGAACATGGCGAATTGTTAGACAAACTAAACCTTTTATAAATTATTAAAGTGCGGACCCTAAGCGTAAACAAGGAACGAAAAACAGCTGTATTTTCTTATGTTTATTGTCACAGGGTTTGGAACTTGAACGTAACCAAAGTATGAAACGTGTATGTAAAAATAAAGCTATATGAGATTTCTCGATATGAGCTTATCATCAATAAGCTCACCAAGGATTTCTAAAACGCCAACAATTCAGATCATTAGTATGAGAGGAAAACAGCGACTTAGTTTTCGTATTTATTTATTTATTTCCAACCTATTTTGAGTCTACTCACTAAGGAAAGTGTAAAATCAATGTAAAATCGTCTATAGATCGTAAAACAATCATATTAGACACTTGACCCGTAACAGCTAAAAGATACGCGAACAAAAGTCATCTATACTTGAAGTCAAATCGTTAATAAACTATTCAAAGTAGCACATGGTACAATTATAAAAGGTAACAGCAAATCCCAGCTGATTTGATTCCAACGTAATACTAGTGTCAATATGAATTTGACAAATTATGTTTTTAAAAATCACCCAACAGGAAAATTGGGAACGCATACAATTTGAAATTGTTCTTTATTAAATGTGCTCCTGTATTCAATTTACTCAATCTGCCTGCTGGGAAAGTTTGAGGAAGCAAATCTTTATTCAAGGAATAACTCGCTATTCCCAGCATTTTCATATGTGTTACACATATATATGGCAATGGCTCAATTATAGGAAAGATGTGGAAGCGATAGAAATATAAATTTGATAGATTTTCATTCATGTTTTTCAATTTTTAATTTGAGGATTCGAATATATTTCATTTTCAAAATAAAAATAATTTGATGATAATTTGTTTACATTTTTCTGTCAAATGAGTTGACACTAGTAGAACTTACAAAAACAAATTTCCATGTGGTTGTTGTATCGTTTTTTGTACAACAACACTTGCCTTCTATTATTATACCATGAAAGTAGCATTACTATGTACAATAAAACAAGTAAAATTATAAATGTAAATTAAGGTAAAAAATATTAACAATATAAAATTCATTCTGACAAATTGAATTAATATTGCTCAAAAAGGGATGTAAAACTGTTCAAATAATATTCTAATATAAATATATATAATTAAAAAACCATTAGGGATTGAAACTACTCAAACTTCTTAAATATTAACATTGATTGGGCAATACAAATTTAATGTGTGTGGTCGGAACTACTTAGCTCACTTAACATATTTATAGTTAATTGAAAATATTAACAATTTAGAAATCGGAACTACTCAACTACTCATTCAGGGCAGCCGATGTCTCGATTAACTATCAAAATGCATTTGAATTTCATGTGCAGTGTTGCCAACCATTTATATTTGCTAACTTTTCTTTTTGAACTTTTCAATGAGAAAATCCCAAGGCAGGACAGTTAATGTTATTTATTAACTTCAGTAGTGTTGGCGGGTTATTTCGGATACCATTTGCATTTTGGTATTGCAAAATAGTCAGGCGCAATCCCAGTTTTGTGTATTATAAAAAAAACTATTTATTAGTTTTTTATTAAATCGATGTATTTTTACTTATTAAGAATTTCTTTATCAAAATCTCAATGTCTGGAAAAAGTGGACTTATTGTCTTTTCACGTTAAGCAAGCGATTGATGATTCTGGATATTTAATATTATTCAATTTAATTTATTTCATAAAGGAGAACCTAGCCCAAAGGCCATGAGCGATTCCAAAAACTTCTATACATGGACTACTCCAAACACATAATCCACAACTACGATTTAGTCATGATATTCTAGTCTATATTCTTTTTAGACTTATTAAGGAATAAAATTCATAAAATATATTTTGGAGTAAACAGACAACATCCAGGGGGGTTACTCTGTATTGCGTTGCGAAAGCAAGTGCGATGCGAAAGCTAAATGCGTTAAGAGTACAATTTGGTACTCTGTAACGTTCACGCAAACGCATTCGCAAACTAAATTGAAAATGGGGCAACACTGTCGCCACAAAGTAAACAATAACGAAGAATGACAAAAGGAAACGTCAAAAAATTGTAAATGAAAACATATTTTTGTGTGGTACGAGTGTTTTTTTTAAACAAAAATGATGAACGAATTAAAAAAAAGAATTTTATGAGATCTATCAAATATACTCTCCCTAAGTGACCACGGGTATGAAAATATAATTACGAATTATGTGACAAATGTTTTCAAATATTTAATTTTTATAGATTTATATATAATGTCTCAATAAAGATTCGTTTATGTATTTTTCAAACGCTCGCCGTTTCAAATAGATCCACAACAATTCCAACTCCAATAAAAGAGGCCGCTGCTTTGAAATTGCTTGGACAAGGTGGTTATCAACACCAACCTATAAATATGCACACATAGTTTCACATTTTATATAAAAAATAATATTTTACTTTTTCCAACCACCGACATCTTTTACAGGAGGTCAATTTGAATTGAGGTCATCAGACAGTTTTGTCCACAAATTGGCGCGTTGTTTCGCATTTGAACTCTGCAACTGTCCCTTTGCCATAAAATCTACTGAAGTTAGGAACTGACGTTGCTGAGTCTGTAACTGTGACTTTTTTGCCTTTTACTTAAAATAATTTACAATTTATATATAAATAAAACCTTTAATGGAGCTTACTTATATGTTTCGCTTCCTTTGCGTTTGCTATTTTTTTAACGCAAGATATTTGCGCTTAACGAACGAGTTTGACATGCGTTTTCGTATTACAGAGTGCAGTGATGCCACATTTGCGTAAAGTAGATGCGAAAGGAGATACAAAAACGAATTAGAGAGTACCAATTACGCGATGCGTTACAATTTTTCTCACGCATCGCAATACAGAGTAGCCCCCCAGTAACATTTGATAACAATTGTTACCAAATATAGAGTAAAAAGACACAACTGTTAATGTTTTGTTCTCGAAACAGTGTTTCATATGAATTAGGATAAATGTAATTGGCCAAGATCTTCTTAATATTCCAGTTTTCTTTTTTTTTTTTGGCATGACCCAATCAAATGAAAGCAATTATTATCGGCAATTTTGGTTGAAAATCCCCCAAAACTTAAAACGGTTTGGCAGCTCGGGTAATATCAAAGTTCATACCCTCTCTCTCTTTTTCGTTTTTACTCTCAATAAATTCTTATTGAGTGAATGTTACTGGAAAAGTAAACGAACATACCTAATGTATGCTGCTCTTGCTAGCCGGTTGAAAATCAAAATCGCCGAAATTTGAGATCTACAATGGTAGGTCCCCTTAATTCATATTCAAACATATTTTTCCCGATTGTTGCGGTCGATTATAATCAAATCTTTACAATATTGCTTTGTTGTAATTAAAAACAGTACGGGAACAGACCAATAGCCTACATGCCAGCTAATCAATAGGTGTGTCTGGTACTTTTCCAGTAACATTTATTCAGTAAGTTCTAGTTCAGAGAGTAAGCCGTTTTTACTCTCTGTTGCGATAGTACTGAGAAAAGTAAACAGACAACATTTAGTAAGATTTAGCAAATAAACAGCTGATTCAAGAAAACATTTGATTTGCGCCAAAATAAACAAAGGACAAACACAATTATTTGTATGGCATTTAATATTAAAAATAAAATGAACAATAAAAGAAAAATTGATTTGGTATGTTCCCCGGGAACATTTAAGCTTCCTGCATCAATACATTGCCTCTATCTGGAACTTGCCTAAAAATATATAAGGAATTAGTTTCTAATTTAATGAAACTTTGCATTACTTAGCAATTGCCTTCCATTTTCAGTAATTTTTATACAACTTGACTTCAAATTGAACTTTGCAAAATAAAATAATGTTTTGAATAATTTTTGTGTTTGGTCATAAAACAGCTGATCCAAAAATGCTGAGTTTGCAAAATCTTACTGCATAAAATTCTTTCAGTAAACTCCAGTAAGTTTGTTGTTGTTCAACTGTCAAACTTGCTCTCTCACTTGACTCTCTTTTACTGGATTTTTGTGTAAACAGACAACATTTAGTAACATTTGGTAAGCGTGGTTTTATATTTGTTGGGATCGGGGTCGGTGTTGAGAGTTTCTCTTTCTCCCTCAGTGGTAAATTGTGAATTGTGTTGGAACACATTACCACAGGTAGGAACAAAAAAGTACGAAACGGTACCTAAAATTCCACTTGAAATAATAATAAATCATAATTATCTCCCTTATTTGCATAAATAATATATGTGGTAAATTGTGAATTGTGTTGGAACACATTACCACAGGTAGGAACAAAAAAGTACGAAACGGTACCTAAAATTCCACTTGAAATAATAATAAATCATAATTATCGAGAAATATTGGCCAATATTTATACCAGTTATTTGCATAAATAATATATGTTATAATTTAAGCGTAAATGTATTCACGAATAATAAAAAATCTAATTTTTGTTTTGGTACGTTTATGTCAATTCGTACCGTTTGTGAACAAAAAGTACGCTTGTTACAAAATTAAAAATAGCGCAACTCTAATTACTCTCTCAAGAGAAAGAAACTCTCAACACCGATCCCGATCCCGACAAATATAAAACCACGCTTACCAAATATCGAGTAAACAGACAGAGCTAATGTCGGCAATGTCAATGTCGGCCTAAAAATCCCTGCTGCCGGCAGACGCAAACATTGCAATTTCGGCTGGCCAAACAAGCTCCCCGCATTTGTTTATCTCTCTGTTGAATCGTCATATTATATAGTTTTTGTTGTAATTTAATTGCAATAAACAAGTAAAACCATCAATACTACAACAACACAACATATAGATATTAAAATAAATACAAATAATTACATAGTTTATGTATTTACTTGGAAAACATGTCTACAATTGAACGTCTTACGATTCAGGGTATTAGAAGTTTTGGCGGAAATGCTGGTGATAGTCAGGTATGTATACACAAACATTGTTGGATACAGCGAGGGCTCTCCTTGCGTATGAAATGTGTGCAACCAGAAATTTTTCGTTGTAATGCGGATTGTTTTGCTTTTTTTTTGTAGATGATAAGTTTTACCTCACCGGTAACCTTGATATTGGGTGAAAATGGATGTGGCAAAACAACTGTCATTGAATGTCTAAAGTACGCCTTGACCGGAGAATGTCCACCGGGCAGTGATCGTGGCAAGTACTTTGTTCACGACCCCAAAATATTTGGTCTAACCGATGTCTTGGGACAAATCAAGCTGGAGGTTCGTAATGTTAAGGGTGCTCGTCTCTCAATATGCCGCTCCATGAAATTGGGTATACGTCGCGGCAAAATATCTTTTGAAACCCTGGATGCTACGCTGAATTATTTAAACGATGATGATGGAAAAAAGACAAATGAATCGATATCGAAACGTTGTGCCGATGTTGATTTGGTTGTATCACAATTTATGGGTGTCTCTAAGGCAATCATCAATAATGTCCTGTTGTGCCATCAAGAAGATTCCAGTTGGCCATTGGATGAACCGAAAAAGTTGAAGGAGAAATTCGATGCGATTTTTGGCATATCCGAATACAACAAAGCGCTGGATCGTATTATTAAAATGCGTAAAGAGGAATTGGATATATTAAAAGTTAAAGGTATGTGTAAATCAGTAAAGTATAGAGTATATATTCATTTCAGACACAGATTAATCGATAGTGAAGTATAAGGAATTATTTGTATGGATATTTAAACTATTGTATTTGTATCCCTTTAGAACAGAAGCCTAATAATGGTATAGAAACATGATTTTTATTATATCATTTGAAAAGTTTTATATTTATTTAAATCAATTCCTTAAAATAAAATAACTGGTCAGAACAGGATTTATTGACAATTTTCTTACCAAAACATGTCAATATAGGATCTTTGTTTAATTATATTCCCCATATAATTATTTGAATTGTTATACGTTATAAACTATGTTTTATTTTACAGAGGCCGATTTACGTTTGGAAGAACATCTAAAAGTCGAAATGGAGGAGAAAACATTGAGTTTACAAAAATGTCAAGAGAAAGCTAAAACAATCGAAGAACAATGCAAACAGTGTGAAGAAGAAATGGTTCCCATTGAAGAACGTTTGCAACAGATTCACAAAATTGAAGCCGAAATGAGTAAATTACAGGCACAAAAAATTGAACTACAAACTAAGTAAGTTATAGCTAAAAACTAACTTTCATTTTAGTTGTCCAGCAAATAAGAAAAATATTCTTTTTTTTTGTAGACAAAAAAATTGTCAGGATCAAATGAACAATTTAAAGAAGAAAATTAAAACTATGTTCGAAGGAACCTTAGAAGAGTTAGATTCTGAAATCGGTAACTTTGGACAACGTATGTCGGAAAAACGTTTGGAAAGACGTGAAGTGGAGGGCAAACTCAATTCTATAAAGAAAGAGGAAAAAAGCTTACAAAATCGCCACAATGACGTCGACAAGAAACGTGTTGTTGCCATACAACAAAAACAAAAGGAAAGTGATTGCAAGGAGAAGCGTGCCGATAAAATAAAAGCACTAGCTCAACAAATGAACCTAACCTTACCCGAAGTGTTGGGCGACTCTGAAGAGGAAATTTCCAAAATTCTAGAAGATATCCAGGGTGTACTCAGCACGGAACAAACTAAAATTAATGAAACCATTAGCCAACACGATGTCGAAGATCAGGAAAGGCAAACAAAAATTGATCAATTGCGAGTTGAAGTTACCAAGTTACAGGAATCTGTGGTCACATTGAACAAACAAAAGAAGGCCTACGAAAAAGAGACGGAACAAAATGAAAAGAAGATATTGGAAATTGAAAAATCCACTCAACAACTGAAAGTGGTTACGGCCAAATTGAAGGAAACCGAAGATTGTTATGAAGAGACATCGGCCAAGTTCAATCAAAATGAGCTACGCGAACAAATCCAAAGTGAAAAGGATGCCATAAAGGATCTGGAAACTCGCTTCCGCAAAACCGATGAACGTTTGACATTTTTGAATTCAATTTCCAAACTTGTAGCTGAGCTGAATTTGAAAGAACAAGAACTCGATAATCGTGAAAAGGAAGTTCAACGCGTTAAAAGTAAGCACAGTGGAAATTTCCGTAAAATCTTCGAAGAGGGTAAAGTAGTGGAGGCAAATTATCAACGCCACGTGAAGGTTACTTATGAGAAATCGCGTCGTCAAATCAAGGAATATAATAATAAAATAAACGCCCTTAAACTAAAAGAACAACGTATTGAAATCAAACGCAAATCCCTAAAGGAAGAGCTGCAAAAAGCCGAAAAAGAATTGGAAGATTGCAAAGAAACGATATTTGAAAAATGTCGTAATACCCCATACGAAGAATTGATAACCAAATCGAAAACATTGTTAAATAAATATCAATTGGAATTGGGTGCACAAAAATCAGCGGAACTTTTCTATAAGCAATATTTGCAGAAGATTGAAGATGAGCCGTATTGTCCGTTGTGCCAGAAAGATATGACAACTACGGAGGTATGTATTAAAAAAGTTTATATTATAAAACTGTATTTTACACAGGGATATAATCCAATGTCCAGACGAATTGAGCAAAGACTTTCTGGTTGAACTATTATTCTCTTTTCCCCATTACAGGCTTCTGGTCTAACATCTGAATTGAATGATAAAATTGTCGATTTACCACAAAATATTGAGAGGATCGAAAAACAATTGAAAGAAGAACAAAAGAAATACGAATCTTTGCTGCAAATGAAGCCAACCATAGATCGTGTGGAAAAACTGCAAGAAGAGATTCCCAAAAAGAAAGAGGATTTACAAAAACTACAAGATGAATTGGCGGAATGTAGCAAAGAAACGGAAACCATACAGGGTCTGCTCGCTGAACCTACCGCCAATATGGATTTGGCCAATTCCATGATGGGTGATATGTCTCTACTGGATGAAGCCATTAAACAGGTGGCACGGGCAAAAGATGATATTGTTAAGATAAAAAATAAGTTTCCCAAGGATAACGCCGATGAGAACGAAACCACCTCCATTGATGCGGTGCAAGCTGAAAAAAACGCCATATCCACAGAATTGGAAGAGAAACGTAAACAATTGGAACAAAATCAACAATACTATGAGAAGAATATGGATGCATTGAATAAATTACGGGATTTAAAGAACACGTAAGGCAAAGTTTTGTGCAGAAAAATAACATTTTAATTCATAGCGAATTGTTGTTTTCAGTTTGAAAGATCAACAAATAAAATTACAGGAGGGCATACAAAGTTTACCCCAGCTTCAAGAGCGCCAAACGGAATTACAAAATCTTTTGGTAACAATTGCTGTAGAGGCACAAGAAAATCAAGCCAAGGTGGGACCGTTGAAAACTCAATTGAATACCGCCATCAAAGAGAAAAGTCAAAACAAGGAATCAAATCGAGTTAAAGTCAATCAAATGCTTATGAAATTGGATACATTAAAGCGTATGGATCAAGATATACAAAGGTAGGTGGGTGGGGGTGACAATACCATAGAGTGAAGTACATAATTTTATTTTTCCCGTTTTAGATTACATACGGAAGTTTTGGATTATGGTAAACTAGATTTGGACCATAAATTGAAAACCTTTGAGGAGTCACTAAAAGGCAGCAAAGAGGAATTACAAAAATTGGTAAGTCTTTCCCTCTTTTATTTGTCACAAATTATTTTTACATTGAATTTGTATCCCTTCCTCTGTCTATAGGCTGAAACCATTGCCGAAATGCAAACAAAACTGGAAGGTATTAAACAAGAATTAGCCAATCAAGAAACAGCCGATCGTGATCTTAAAGATAATCGTGATTTAAAAATATTACAACAAAAATCGGAAGAATTAAATGCCACCTACAATTCACTGGCCGAAGAATTCAGTAAACTTGATTTCACTACTGTATCCAAGGAAAAAAAAGAACTAAATTCGAAACGTGAAAAAATCACTGTTCGCAAAGGTGAACTATTGGGTCAGAGTGGTGAAATTAAACAACAAATACGCAAATTAGAAAAAGAATTGGCGGCGCCCAAGTATCGCAATTCATTGATGAATTACAAACGTATCTATTACGAAGTCGAAGTAACACGCAAAGTTGCCAACGATTTGGGTCAGCATCGTGTTGCTCTCGAATGGGCCCTCATGCAATTCCATACGGAAAAAATGAAAGAAATTAATCGCTTGATTCGTGAATATTGGCGTTTAATATATCGTGGCAACGACATCGATTACATTCAAATCCAAACGGAAGAGGGCAAGGACGCGTCGTCGTTGGATAAACGTCGTAACTACAATTACCGTGTCATACAATCGAAAAATAATTCCGAAATTGAGATGCGTGGCCGTTGCAGTGCTGGTCAACGGGTGCTGGCTTCACTCATTATACGCATGGCCTTGGCCGAGACATTCAGCAGCAATTGTGGTGTTTTGGCCTTGGACGAGCCCACCACCAATCTGGATCGCAACAACATTCTATCACTGTGTGATGCGCTCAATCGAATTGTCGAAGAACGACAGACACAATCGAACTTTATGTTGATCATAATTACACACGATGAAGCCTTCATATCGACACTGGGCAAAATTAATAAATATAATCGTGTATTCCGCAACGATGAATGTAAATCGGTAATACGTCAGGTGAGAGTGGCTTAAGCTGCGCGCCAGCACACACACAAATGAAATTAGAAGTATATATTTTAAGAGTATTATTGAACATAAAATGGATATATTTTTAAGAAATATACAATACATAATACATAAATATATATATATATTTTATATGTGCTACATAAGGTTGGTCAACAAAAAGAAAAGGAGAAGAAGAAAAACATGCAATGTGATTCTTAATAAACAAAATAATAATTAAAATTTTAACAAAGTTATATGTACTGTATGAGGGGATATTTGAAACATATCGATTTATTAAATGTCCGCCCGTCCATATGCTAAAAACCTTCTATAATTCCACAATGTACTGATTCCACAGCCATGGAAACTATCTGGTGAAATGTAAAGAAACCTTCGACAATTAAAAAAATGATTATAATTTTGGGCTTTGCGCTTATTAATTTAGTTTAGTTTCAAATATCCCTAAACGAGCTTTGGAATTAAGAAGAAAAGGACATTTAGCGAACTGTCTTCTCGTGAGGTATATGTCTTTCGATTATATTAATAATTTTGTTTCTTTTAGAAATTTGATGATATTATGCAAATGTTGCTAATGGCGTTTGGGTATGAAATCCTTAACTATGAAAATTCAGTTTAAGGATTTAAATTCGTTTTTAATGCTACCATATTTGGTAGCATTCAACATGGTTTCGTCTGGGTTACATTTACAAATCAAACTCTTACCGATTATATTGTTGGCCAAGATGCGATTCATCATCTTCTGATTGTCAGGGTGTAGGCTAGATTTTTTGTACCAGGAGGTTCTCACAAAAATTTAGAAAAAATAGGAATTGCTATGCTCTGCAATTGGGAATTATTCTTTGGACCAGTCGTCCCATATTTTGTCTTGTATACTGTTTATGGTATCATTTATGACTGTCAGCTGGTGTTTAAAAAGGTATCGTCATTAGTTGCGTTTATTGCCATTCGATCGTCTTTTTGTTATGGGTGGACCGAAAGTTACGATGTTAGAGTTTAAACCCCTATGGAGCTAGTGGTAATATTGGAGAAACAACCGATTTCCTAAATTGTTCAAAAAAATCATCAAAAAGCCATACCGCCATAGTTTTCATTATTCCGAGTCCATATTTTCTTAATTTTCCAATGCGGCCTTTAGTCGTGAATGTTTCTTCTAAAATAAAAAAATAATCACCTTATAGGCGTACACTTCCTTTGTACCATGCGTATACGCTTCACTATTCAATGATGTCAACATGGTCAAGCAAGCAGAGAGAACGACGAGACAAGCATAAATGAGCGCGCACATTTGAATAAATAGTTGATTGTCGTCGTTCAAACCAATCGGATTGTCAAGCACGGACGCAAAATCATAACAAGCATTAACCCTGCGTGTGGATGTGTGTGTACGTCGGCTATTCAAACGTCATTGTTGTTGTTAGTCCAATAACAACAACAGGCAGATAAACAAGTTTGTTTTTTTTTTTCATAAACAAACTTATGTGCAACAACAACAACATTGAATAGTCTATGCGCTACCATAAACAAACCGAAAAAACATAAAAAGAAATATGTCGTCAATAGCGCCACCACAACGTCAAACCATCCACTCGATTCACAACAAACAATTTTGGATGGAATTTTTTTGCCTATACGAAGCACAACCGGCCCTATGGGATGTCAACAGCATACAATACAAGAATCGCCAACTGAAAAGTCAGGCCTACGATGTAATGGTGGAAAAGTTACGTGAAATCGAACCAGATTCAGATCGTGAAGATGTTTTGCGTAAAATCAACATATTTCGTACGAATTATCGGCGTGAATGTGCACGCATAAATAAAAGTTTACAAGAGGGCCGGCCGTATAAATCGACCCTTTGGTATTTTGATATTTTGAGTTTTTTGCAGCCGACGGAGGGGCGAGAAAGAAAACGCAAATTAATCGATGATAGCGGAGAGAAGAGTATAATGGTGAGTAAAACAGTGTTGTCAATATGAAAGTACGTATATGTGTGTAAGTTTGGAGGATTTTTTTGGAAAAGCGTTTGAAAAAAAAAAAAAAACAGTTTTTATACGGTTCTAAGTATCATATCTATTGATCTACAACAGATATAGCCACATGTCGCACCATTTTGGAAAAGGGCAAATTGTAGTCGATCATTTTTTTCAGGATTGGAGAGGGACCATAATGGACCCAATTTAGACTTTTAGGGAGTTTTTCCAAAAAATCGGGGTCCAAAGCCCAATTTTTGACTCTATCATTAAAACGGCTTGAGATAACCCCATCGTATTACCATTCAATGGAAAGTTATTTTTATAAGCTTTGAAATTACTTTATATTACATTAGTTTAAAGTTTTTATTTATATAGTTGTTTATTTATAAGTTCTACTTCTAATATTGTAATTGTTAATACTATTTATTGGCCTTGCTTTAGTATTATGGAATGAATTGAATAAATAAAAAAAAATAAATATTCCGGATCCGAAGAAAAGGATGTAACCGTGTACCCGTACACAAACTTCCGGGTCAAATAACCGGGGACGTACCCGCCAAGAAAAAAATATATCTCCATAATTAGGTTAAAAATATCTACTTCTGGATTTTTTTTTTTCAAAAATCTGATCGTTTTTTTTAAACAAGAGTTGTTCCATGGGTCGATAAGAATACCTTTTGATGTTATAGGAGATCGTGTGAGCCAATAAGTTTCTTATAGAAATAATTTTTTGTATTGTAATTTTTTTCTTGGGGGATTTGGCAATTTTGCCCGATAGGTTGAGTAACGGATTATAAACGGTTCTACGGAACCAAGTAGAAAAAAACAGCTTTTATTCTAAAGCTTTCCATTTTAAAGCTTGTAGCTATATAATATTCCGGACATGTAGATATGCCGAAATCCCAGTTTTATTCCGAAATATATACAGGGATTATAACGTCTGCCTTTTCGAGATTTGAGGGTTTTTTTAACCACTTCATATTTTTTATGCTTAAAATCGGTTCGATAACTGAAAAAAAAAATGAAAGAGCTGGCTAATCGATATGCCCGCATTGCGAAGACGAAATGGAGATAATTGAAAATCCACTTGTCGGAATCCAAGTCTTCGCAGTTACTTATGTTAACTTTTCGGTAGTCTTATGTCGTTCGTGAACGTCCTAGTTCAATTGAACGAGTCAGTCCATTGAACGAGTGAACGACATAGTTAAATGTTTTTTATTGCCGTTCATTGAACGATTTTGTTTACCAAACTCAGTCGGTCTCTGAACGACTTTGCTCATCTTTTACACCTTCAGTGTTGTTCACAGGTGCACTGACTTTGACCAACTGAACGGCGTCAAATAAAAACAATTTCATATAAAATCTGTTAAATTGGATGAAGGTACGTGTCATAATTGTTGTCCCATTTCATGGAATGCGGTGTTTAAAATATCAAATACTGCCGTAGTATTTTACGAAATGCTGGAGGGTCAGTAAGTAATATGAAGCAAACCACCCCCATAGACAACCGTTTGTCCCGGAAAAGGGACAAAGGAGCTGTAGCGCAAACTAGTGTGCTGCCAAATATAATGGAGTTATGCCATCGACCACCACCCATTAACAGAGTCGAGAAAATAGATAGAAAAATCCTTCGAATGATTTTTGAACTGTCAGAACTTAAATAGAATACGATGCCAAGCCAATTGATCTGAGTAACCATTTCAACGATATAAACAACTGAACCAGGTGAACGAACTAGTTCACTTTAAAAAAATGATCTAGTTCGTTCAATCACTGAACTGAACGAAATTGCCCAAGACTACTTTTCGGTAAATATTAAAAAAATACACTCTCTCAACCCCACATTCGCTTCACCTTCTGCCCCCATATACATTATTTGACGTATGTCTAGTTTAAGCCTGGTCGAGGATCGTTTTGAAAAACATATAAGTGGTTCTATTTTAGCCGATTTTTACATCACTACAAATTAGAAGGTACCTACTAAAAATAATTTTTGTAATCAGGACTTCAAGACATGAATAATTACAAGGGTCTCAGTGTAAGAAAAAAAAGCATCATTGTAATGAGCATCCCTAGGACTATATGTAATAAAAAATGCTAAGCGAACTTTCTTATAATCTTAAATACCTCCGCGTTGAGTGGATGATGCAGTAGTAACATCAAAACTTACATATTTTATTTTTTTTATACTTGATATCTCCATTTTTTGCGTCTTTTAAAAAAATAATACACAACCTCGATAATTTTTACTACTTTACAGCGAAAACGACGTCAACAATCAACCACGGTTCTTAAAAGTGGCGAAAAATATGTAGTGCGTCGTTTCAAAGACAACATCATTGAATATAATCCACAACTGGCCGTTAATGATTTCGATTATGATAAATATGACGAAGAGAAAGATTTTGATTATGTTGTCGAGAATTTATCGCATGCACTAGCTGATGGGGGTGGCGGCAGCGGGAACATTGACGATGATGACGGTACGACGACGACGAAAAATGATAGTACCGATATACACGATGCCCTACAAATACACGATGAACCATTTGATCAACATGACCTTGCTGATGACGAGGATGTTGATGACAATTCACAGGTTGACTATGAACAGGAATATCAACGCTATTCAATGTTGGACGACATAACTTCATCGGCAAATAGTCAATGTTCTAAAAATGATCTCACATCGCGCGATATAACGCTGTCGAATAGTTTAATTTGTAGCGAAGAAAGAAATAATAAACACGATACCCTTATACTGACGGACGCCTCTGCGCTGCAGCAACATCCATCTGTTTATGATGAATACGACGAATCGGATCCAAATGTGGAGGTAGCAACAACTGGCGTCGTTGATACTATGAAGAATCTTAATCCGGAAACGCAGTGGCCCATCAAGGAGCATGTCTCAGAACATTATAAAATTAAATCGTCACCAAAACAACAGCAACAAAATATTACAATTGCCAATGATGGCAATGATCCCGTTGTCTCCACGTCATCCAATGAAGACTTAAATCATCATCG